TTCCTGACAGAGCATTGGCATTGGTGAGGGGCAGTCACTGCAATGTTCTTCATGAACTCAGCCCCATTCACTAAATCACCTATCAATGATTTCCAATTCCTTCTTGTTGAGTCACTTTTTATTTTATACAGAGGATGGGTTTTAGTAGCTAAATTTTATATATAGGAGGTTTGTTTCTTTTATTTGATTACAGCAAAGAACATGACGGCTACTGCCTAATAGGAGTGATGATCCAAAGAAGGCATACTAAGAGAAACTGGCTCTTATGCATGTTACATATGGGGAAAACTACGAAAACACAAATGCATCCAGACCATTAGTGAGGATTTGAACCATGATCGACTTGAAAGTGTTCAGCATTGCTTGACTGCTGGTGGGATTTACACATTGAAAACTGCCCTTTCTTAGATTTTTGGCTTTAAGGTACACAGAGAGTGTTTACTCAATTTTTTGATAAATACTACTACTACTAATAATAATAATAAGAGTAAGTATTTCAGAATAAAAATTTCTGGCAATAGATGATTATTTAAAATGAGAAATATCGTCAGCTACTTAAAAATTTTTTTGGTATTTCAAAATGTATGTAAACCAGCTGTGAATTAAAGGGTATATTTTTGCGTTTTCCAAAGAGAAATATTTCTACTAGATATTCGAAAACTTTTTGAAATGTGGCATTAAAATTTCTAAATGCACAATAAGCAATATTATTAAACACAAAAAGAAAAACTGTCAGCCATTACTTCAACATGAATAGATAACTCCAAACGAATATCCCAAAAAGTTACATACTGTTTTTAATGTTTCTAAAATTAAATTAGTGGTAACAAGAGAAAATCTGTTGATACAAAAATCAATTGCAAAATCTTGTGAATCAAAATAATTGCAAAGGGGTCATGTTCCATTAAGACGATGCAAAATACACATATTTGGGCACCCATCAAAAAGTTTTGGAGCTTGGATGGGAAGCGTTGCCACATCCACCATATTTGCCTGACTTTGCACTGTCAGACTCCCACTTGTTTCACTCGCTTTAGCAGCGCTTGCATAGTATAACATTAAATTGCAATGAGGCTGTAAATCAACACTTTCTTTAGTTTTTTGTGAATAAATACAGGTCCTTCTATGAACACTTCAGCTTACTGAAAGATGGTGCAAGTTTATTGAGCAAAGTGGGCAATACATCAGTGACTGAAGTGTATTCTTTGTGTCATGAAATACACGTTGTAAAACATACACCAAATACATTATGACATTTCCGATAACCAGATAAATGCCCTTGAAATCATTCTAAAAATGTGTAAGCACTTTTTGCACAGTGTATACACCCATGCACATTAGTCATTAGTTTCTGTTAGAAGATTTTAAGAGTTTTGTGTCAGATTTTCAGAAAGTTTTCAGATTTTCAGTGGGGGAAAAAAAAAAAAAAAAGAAGAGTTTTATTTCATGAAATCCACATATTGATACAATTAAAGGTTTAAAAGGGTTACCATTCCTTTATTCTGAAGAATATATTAATACTGAAATTTCTACCTATTTTTTTTACAAAATTGCCAGATATTTAAATCTTTTCCTAATACATTTTTATCTTAACTTCTTTCAATGGCATTCCAAATTACAAAAATAAATACATAAAAATAAAAGATGTATCAGTAATGTACTAAATTGATTGCCAAATCTCCATTTACAATTTATACATTCTGCATGAACAAGAAAAAATATTAACGACCTGGTCATATAAAGGTAAGGCTGTAAAAAGGCTTATTGATATTACTAGTTTTAAAGCGTTATTGTGCAATAAACATGATTATGATGTAAGCAGCAAATAAACATATGAACATTTATTATTCAAAATATAACAAAAATACTCACTGTGCCTCTTGCCCATTCATAAACCACATTTACCAAGTAAAAATTATATTGATCTACAAAATATGGTTCATTGATGCAGTTTCTTTCCTGTTCCTCAGATATAAGCATAGCCACTTCCTTAATTTCTTTAACTTTCTGCAATGAAAAAAACAATACATTAATTCAATTAAATTATATTTTCAATTTTTCATTTTTTAAGGAAATAAGGAAAAAAAAAGATTTTTGAAAACAATACAAATAACTTTTTGAAAATTTTTTGAAAATAAGACAAATTTATGAAATTTAGCAGCATATGTTCCTTTCGGAATATGACTTATCTGAAGCTTTCAGAGATAAATTTGTCATGAAATGGAAAAACCGTGAGAAATTCTTACAGTGCAGTTATATATTTAGGAAATTAACTTTCATCTGCTAAAAATAATAAACTTCTTTAACCCCTTAACTGCCATGGAAAACGTACAAGATTCATTTCCCAGTGACACGGTTTTTCACACAGGCACGCGTAGTTATGCGATGTATTAGGGGGAAAATAAATACAAGTTTTACTTTCCAAAAACTGCTTACTTTCACAAAATAAAGAATAAAAGAAAAAAAAAAAAAAAAAAAAAACGAATGCACAAAATTTAATGTTTTGAGTAAAAGTATAATAAAAAGATGCAAGTAAAAATGATGTTTTTATAATAAAAAAGATCCCTAACATGGAGTTTCGATCAATTGATTTTTCGACCAGTAAAGTGTAATATCAGGTTTCAGTGTTATACCTTGTGAAATTAGTATGCCTAAAAAAACATATATTTTTTCTGAACTGGTTGAATGCCATGATTTTGTTCTTGATTTTTCGTTTGCAAGGTTTTGGTTCATATATTCGTCTACAAAACGGTTAGTTCAGTAACAATATGAAGCATGAGCAGTTCATCAAAAAATAATTCAAAAATGATAAATGGGTTTGAAACATCCTTATATCTTTCTTTATTCCTTGTAACCTACTACAAAAAGTAAACGAAAACAAAGGACACAGAATAAACAAATATACGTTTTACTCAAACAACACCAGCCTATAGTGCGCAGTTATTACTTTCACCGCTTTAGACACACCCTTCACTCCAATTTCTCCCCACACTTCTCTGAAATAGTATCCTCTTTCACATACTTTGTCAAGGTCATTGTGGTGTTGCATTCCAAAGCTTTGTGAATAATTTTATGGGTAGCAGTGCAAAGCAAATGATAGTAGTTTGGAAAGGCATATATATATACACCTGGGGCAGTTAACACATCAGCTGAGCAAGGCGTATATATATGCTTGTGGCAGTTAAGAGTTTAAACATTTGTTATCAATGATAATATATCACTTTTAAGATTAATAAAAATGTGATGTATCAAAACGTGATTATTTCTGAAGTAGAATTAATAAAAAAATTAAATTTATGTTTAGGATTTTGTTATTAATTTCAAAATTTAAGCTACAGAAACCAGACGATTTTGAATATATTACTTTTACTTTCTTTTGAAATATCTTTGTCATTGGGCACATGTAGATCCAGAAATCAGTCCTCCCCTCAGGAATTAATCATTATGTATTATTCAAGATGTAATCTTTGCCAATTTACAATGTCTAATCTATTTTTAGAATAATATAAAAAATAAAATTTGAATTAGGATATCGAGAAGAATGACAATCTAGATGCTGAAGATTTCCAAGAATAAAAAACATTAAAAAAAACTTGGTCAGATTTTATATTTAATCATGTATCCCTCATACTAGAACTGCTGATGATATTAACTTGGCAACATGATTATAGAAAAGAATAGGGTTCAACTCATGGCTTGGTCTTACATATAACCAAAATGTATCAAGTGAACGCATTTTGGAAACTAAATGATTTTAAAAAGAAGAAAAACAATTACAAAACAAATACTACTATACAAGTTTTAAAAAAATTACTTTGTGTTCACACATTTGCCTTCAGTGGGGATCAGAGAAATAGATTAAGTTAAATTATATATATTATGACTTTTAAAAACCACTTCATAAATAAGGCAACATAGTGTTTAAATTATTGCTTAAAAAAGTTTAAAAGTATAAATTACATAATTTTATGTGCAATATTTTACTACTTTAAAAAGAAACTGCAATTTTGGTTATTTTATTCATTTGTACAATAACTGTATAGTATCAGGAATGAAATATTTAGTGATTGATTGAATAATCTTACGCAGCTCGATTTCATTGATGTAATGAAAGTAAATACATTTTGCCCAGCTACATAGTCTCAAATGTTTAACAACCACATGTAATTAAGGTGAAATAACGTGCTGAACAAGCAACAAAAATCAGCGTTATATTTGTTAATTTTCACAGGACTAGTTTCAAACCATCATCCTCAGCTGCCAAAGTAAAATAATAATAATAATAATAATAATAATAATTTTATTATTATTATTTTTTGGTACTTTGGCAGCTGAAAATGATGGTTTGAGAAAACCATCAAAACAAAACCTGTGAAAATTTGCAAATATAAATGCTGATTTTTGTTGCTTGACTTCTAAACCAAATGTAAGTCTACATTTGCACCCACAGCAAATTTGATACTTAAATATGCTAGAAATGTCTTTGTAAATAACACTCTAAGTTAACATTAATAAAGTGTTAACATATATAAAATACATAAAAAGAACACGGTCCAATCCCAGTTACTGATATCCTCAATTTAATGTTAGCTTTGAATGATAAAGCCTAAAATGTATTAAACCAAAAGTCAAATTATTCCTCATTTAATGGAGTAAAATCCCAATGAATAAGGCGGGCTGCTTGGGTGTATTTGTGGTTTCCCCATGTGTAACATGAATATAAATTCGTTTTCTTTGGATAGTCAGCCACAAATGTAATTCTCTCCTTATGCAGATAATAGCCTAGAGAATAGGATCCCTTTTTATCTGATAAATACAGGAATTAGCTTTGTTATAATCAAATAATCTAATGCAATACAATCCCAATTAGTGATGGATTTTCTTGAACCATGATAGTGTTCAAGCAAACTACGGTCGGTGGATTTCAGATCCAAATGTTTTAGCTCGCAATGGAATTGTCTGAAAGTGACAACAGCATTCTAAAATTAATATTTTGTAAGCTTTTTCACCAAGAAAAATTAAAGAATAGAATTAACCCTTCGGTAGATGTGAGATTAAGCAATTCTTTCTTTAAAAATCTTATCATTTACAATATTAACCAATAACTATATAGAAGCTGATTGCATATACATTTGTCATATAGTCAGATAATTCTGCTGAGAATCAAATCTTCAATGATTTTGCCAGTGTTTCAATGTTTTATACATAAGACCACAAGATACCCCATTTAAAATTTAATCTATTAAATTTTCAATGTATTTCTTAATTCTATTTGATATATTTCCGCTACAACATTTATTCAAAGAAAATTCTAAAATCAGATTATAAAACTCTCATGAGATTTGTAGCATAAGACAGGTGTTTAACATCCCTTTAAAATTATAATAAAAAAAAAAAAATAAATAAACATCTTAAATTAAAGTTTGTTTACCTTAGCCAAATGAACTGGAAGCTCTAAATTGGAATCATCACACCTTTGTTGAAAAACCATGCAAGACAGCAACGCAGCCACATCCTCTGGTTTACAATCACCAAAAACTGACTTTACAAGCAATTCTGTTATAAGAAGTTCATGATTGCTCATTTCTCTAGCAACACAACCCTTCAACTGAACATTTTCTTCTTGATCAATGTATTCTAAAGATTTTAATACCTACATTAAAGTATAAAAAATTATGATATTATGAATTTTGAGTTATGTGATCAAGAATTTAATGATTTATATTAATCAAGGCAAAAAGTTGTTTGACAAAAATTTTAAAATCAGAGACAAATAAAGTAAAAATCAATACATGAAGAGGAATTTAGAACCAAAATTAAGAAATTAAAGGAAATATTCAGTATAAGATAAAATAAGAAAATCGACAGTGAATAATGTTATATATTACTAAATAAATATACTATCGAAAATTTATTCATGAAGAAGAAGGAAATAATAACAGGATTAATTAAATGATTAGAAAAAGAAATAAAAGTAAAATCATAACAAGATATTTAAAGCATTGAAAAATGATGTAGGGGGAAAAAAAACACACAATTTTTATCTTAGTTTTTTCCTCATTATATTTTATCATATACTTTGCAAAGAAATGCTACAGAATGAATAAATTCAGTGAAGTGAACAGTTCTATATTGCATTTGAAATCAATGTATTACTTTCATTCAAAACAATAAAATTCTTACTAATGATAATACAAAAGCCTTATTCTTCTTGAATTAATAAATACGCATTTCATTAATGAAATTTTTTTTAAATAAAAGTAACAGATTACACTGAAATAATACAAAATTTAATATTTATTCATTCAATTGGCTATTTCCTCTTCATGGATATATAATCTAGCTTTACCAGGTTTTTAAAAGAACTACATCCATTTTATTCACTGATAACAAAATGCAAGGAATTAAAAATTGAGAAAAAGGGAGCCTTTCCTTTAATGTATCTTTGAAGAATTCTGCCACTTTCTCATGATGATCTATATAATGGAATTGGATTTTAAACCATCTTTTGAAACTCTCTTTAATACTTTTATATTAAAAGAAAAATCAATTGACACAAGCTTAATTTTATCTGATGCATGCATTTTTATGAAATGAAAATAAAGACCATACAGTTTACTCTAAATTATCCTATATATGATAGCAAATTCATTGCTCTGAACCAATTATTTGCAATAAAAATAGTCTATTGTTTCAAAATAGACACTTTAGAGTTGTAATTACCATCTTTTCATTAATAATTTTCATGTGTGTCACTGCATAGTGGAAATTAAGCATTATTTTATCAAATCAGAGGATTCAGCAATCCTCCACAGCAGTCATAAGCATGGTTACCAAGACTGAAAGAGGGAGGGGGAAGACTTTGAAAAATCTATTCTAAAGTAACAGATATTCTATAGTAACAGATATTCTAAAGTAACAGTATTCTGTAGTAACTGTGAAGAACAAACTCAAAGGGAGGGGGAAAAGATTTCACACTAATGAAAGTGAAAGAACTCAAAGACAAAGCAAAGTTACATTATAAATGACTTTTCAGCTTTTATATTATTTCATAAATCATTTGGATTTAAGATTATGCGAGTTGTTCCATTTTAGGCTCGTGTACAGATAGACAGCTCTTATGATATATGTTAAAGCAATACTTTGAAATACAGGGGGAAAAGCAGCCTTACATTGGTGTAAATTTTGACAAATTCTATCAATTTTGAGAATAAGCAGATACAGGCTCCTCTTTTTTTGGAAACAAAAATTTTGGATTAACACATTTTACACGCTCTCGAAAAGGAAGACTAATGTTTGAAACTGATAGTGTTTAACACTGGGGAGAAAAATTTAAAGAATAATTATAAAAAGGTGCTTTACATTAATTCTATCACATAAAGTCCAATGAAGAGTAGCCGGTTGGTACCTCAAGGGAAATGTTATCATGAAATTCAATCCTATCCTGCCTTCCCTACACAGAAGTGTGCAAATCTTTGCATCTGTTCTTTCAGTACATGTGGAAATGAATGTAGGAGAATGGCTCCAAATTTTGACTTCAAGGGTGGTATGAATAATTGGGTAACATTCTTTAACATGGGAAATGGAGCATTTTATCAAGATGGTATGCAACCAAGATTATGTTATCAAGATTGTGAGAAATAGCATGTGACTACAGATGCATTTCCAGTGCACCCACATCATGCGATTATGTGACAAATCATGAACCATGTGACATCCCCCTCTTGCATCGTGAATTACATGACATTCCATATACATTCCACTCCCCCTCCCACATTATGAATTATGTGACAAATATAGCACGCTTAAAAAGCTTCTGATGCATAAAAATTATCATAATTTTTTTCCTTGAAACAGCTTTTAAATTTTGGCATAAGTAATAGGAAGTATTCCAGTTTTAGCCTAAATTTGACTGATTAACCAACATCAGCAGCTTTGGCTTTGTTCTTAATTCTAAAATAAAGAAATATTAATACAAATAAATAAATCTGAAATAAGAATTAAGAGCAAACAAGCATAAATCTTAGAAAGGGGGAAAAAATTTGGGAGGGGAAAAACATTTTTCATTTAGTCCATGATATTTGGGGAGAAATTCATAGAATTTCATAGAAAATACAGTTACCTTCCTAATTTTTAGTGATCCATGAACTCTTTCTTTCTTTCTCCCTCGTTATCTTGAAAATTTAGCATTAGGAAATTAAGACACAATAACATGCCAAATAAATACTAATTCAGAAAGCAAACAACAAAAATCAGCGTTATATTTACAAAATTTCCACAGGACTAGTTTCGATGGTTTTACCGAACCACCATCCTCAGCTGCAAAACCACAAATGAACGATAGGAAAAAATGATTAGATAAGATAAGAAAGCCTGGACAAGAATAAGCAAGGCGCCACTGTTAGTGAAAACCAGAACTAAAACCTAATTTCTTTAAAGGCCGAAGGCAAATTTGGATTGAATTAGATCGTAACTAGACAGAAAGATTTTTATGAATGTTGAAAATGCCTCTAGAAAATCCAGTTCTCCAATGGAAGATGTTTTTGAATAATTTGGCAGCGAAAATGAAAGGTGATTTCGGACCAACAATGTTTGCGCAACAGAAGACTTCTGTGTTTTCTTTTTTCTAACACATGCCTCCTGTTCTTGACGCGAAATTTGAGGCTCTCTTAGTTTGGCAATGTAAATTAAACCACACTGGCAAGGAATCCTATAAACCCCAGGAATTCATTCGGGAATGGGTCCTTAAGTATGGAACTCGGAATTTATTGATGGGAGAGAATAAAAACCCAAAAGTTAAATTTCTGAAAAATATGTGCAACTTTATAGCTATTGATGGAAAGAAGGGAATGTCCAACATAATTTTTATAATCTCCTAAAACAAGAGTGTGCCTTTTAGTGTGTGAGATGAGAATTTATTAACTGCTTGATTAATAATGTTGGGTGAAAGCCCCTGTCAATAGCTATGCTTTAAATAATTTAGTTCTTCATCAAGGGCTAGTTTGGAGGAGGGCAAACTGAAGAGCACGGAAAACATAGGAATAAAATGAAGCTACCTTTGTTTAGTCGGATGACATGATTTTAAGGTTGTGGTGGAAGGCAAACCGATGAAGTTTTACGGTAACCATAGTACTGAGTTGGATGTGTTACGTTGTGACCAGAATGTCGAGAAACGGAAGAGAATTGCAAGTCTCAAGTTTCAAAAGTGAAACTGAAAAGCAGGATCAATAGAATTCATTGTTGAAAGAACTTTATTTAAATCATCTTTATTACCTTCAAACAGGGTAAAAGTATCGTCTACATAGCGGAACCATGCCGGGAAGTTTAAAGTTTCAAACAATTTTGATTCATAATGATGCATGTAGATATCAGCCAGGATGGGACTGAGGGGGCTTCCCATGGCTAATCCCTCCGTTTGCTTGTAATATTTATTTTGGAAAACAAAATGTGTTTGTTTCAAACAGAGTTGAGTGAGAGAAATTAGCTCATCAATTTCGATGCAAGAGAAATGAAATTTGCGAAGTCTGGTTTCTAGACATCTTAATGAATCATTTCTAGACATCTTAATCATTTTTTCCTATCTTGTTCATTTGCGGTTTTGCAGCTGAGGACGGTGGTTCGGTAAAACCATAGAAACTAGTCCTGTGGAAATTTTGTAAATATAACGCTGATTTTTGTTGTTTGTCTTCTGAATTAGTATTATGAAATTAATTTGATCATTCGCCAGTTAAAAGAACATTGTAGAAATGAAATGAAAGGGGAATTACAGCGTTCTCCAGTGAAAAAACTCAAATATTTACAGTGAAGGGGGGGAAGCTAAGCACATATATATTATTTATCGTAATTTCTGGCAGAAAGGCCCCATCAGCGTAAACGGTGCACTCGAGAAAAATGGCAAGAAAAAAATTAAAATTACACAGAAACGCCACAATAGATTAAATTGCGCGTGACATCGTCGGGGGCCGTATAGATGCAAAATCTCAACCTATGTCCTGATATATGACATATAAGTTAAGAAAAATGCATGAAATGAAATCATAACTCAAAAATAAATTAAAGGTAAGAAATGTTGAAAATATATTTACGTTCACGAATATACTTGTATTTACATACTAAAGAAGTCCATATTTGTAATACTCAGCCTATATTATAAAAAATATTGCAACAACGAAACTATTAAATTTGGATTACAAAAGCAAATTTTAAATTTTACTTACAAAAGGAATTAAAGCAAACTATACATCATATGAAGCCATCAAAATCTGATTCTTCACTTTCTGAATTAAAAAGATTTAGTAAATCCTGATCTAAATCCAAGTCTTCCAGATCGTCACATTCATCCTCTTGGTTTACAGTCTCTTTATCTAAAGATATAATTTCAGTTTCTTTGAATCCTGCCATTATTGACGATGTTTTTACCGATTTCCGTGCACTTCCTATTCACTTTGCAACATCTTGATAAGATGCTCTGCGAATTTTACCGCTTTTGGTATACGTATGCAATCCTTCACTCATCCAACACTCCCACCGCTTTCAGACTTCAGCTTTGAAAAATTTATTTCCTGACAAATCTAATGGTTGTAAGATTTTTGTCAAACCACCAGGAATTATTGCTACGTTCGTAGACAATTTTTGACATCTGGTTTTCACTGACTCAAGTAAATGAGCACGCATGGAATCCATTATCAATAAACCTTTGGTTGGAAAAAAGATCCCTTACGACACTGTCAAACTTTTTGTAGCCACTCATGCACGATTGTTTCGCACATCCAGCCGTTCTCGTTTGCACAAATAATTACGTAATTAGGAAAATCTCCCTTCAGAATAGTTTTCCGTTAAAAAATGATCATCAGCTTTATCTTGTCACCGTTTGCACCACAAGCTAACACACATGTAAATGAATTTCTTTCATGCCCTGTCGTAAGCACAGATACAGTTTTTGCACCAGTTTCATCAACAGTTCTGTTTGCAGGAGAATCGAAAGCTAAAGGCATTTTATCCATATTTATTATCTGTGACAGAAGAAGTTTTCTTTTGTCAATAATATCTGTCACATATTTTAGAAAAGATGTCTTTTTTATCCTGTCAGTCCATTGGTAACTGTGGCCCGACTGTTCTAGTACGCACAGAAATATTTTTTCTTTTCATAAATCTGCTACACCAGCAAGGCCCTTCTCTGAAATCATTTATGTTCATTTGCTTTGCTATAAATTTTGCTTGCAAGCAAATTTTTACAGTCGAAATTGCCATTCTTTTTTTTCGTTGCTCCTTTATCCAGTTACCAGCAGTATAGCTTCTGTGCCGTTTAGGTGCCATTTTCAAAAATTTTCCACTCCCTTCTTAATTAAAAACTATCCAACAAGTACTTGTACCCAAACTGATGGGATCTGTATCTGGCAGAATGCCAAGAAAAATCGATTCATACTGAAGGGGAAATACGTCAGAGTTCATTATTGCGAGGCAGGTGGAGTCGTGTCTGCCTTTGAAAAAAATTGCAGAAAAGGCAGGGGTGGGGAGAGGATGGTTCCCAGAAGATTCATCGAATGGCAGAGGAGAGGGACTATTCAAAATGATGAGAATGTGATTTCAAAGGGGGAAGAATTTATTGTTCGAGATCCCATTAGGGTGAATAAGGCATGTAAGTCCGTTCAAGGGAAAGAATGTAAACAAAATAACGTCCGCAAAAAGCAACTGAATGGTCTTTTGTGTTGGAACAACTGAGTGGTCTATGTGCAATGACAAAGTTATTCAAACTATGCACAATGACAAAGTTATTCAAACTATGCACAATGACCATCGAAGGAAATATTTTATTTTTAGTGCACCTAAACGCCGCATGGGTAGAAACGCTGCACCCGCTGAAAATTTAAGTTTTAAACGCGTAAACGCCGCTGTGTTTCTTCTGGAAATTACAGTAACAGAGTTTCAAAAGATATGATTAAGTATTCATTCAATCAAGAGCTTAAACATGAATATAATAATGTTTCCCAACTCAAAACAGATAGAAAACTGGCTGATGAAAGAAAGCTGATATGGAATGAAAAGCAGAGAAGATGAAATGACAATAGATCAGAATAGCTTTACCAATTCCTGGCAATTTTGTCTAGTTATTTTGATTCTCATTTCAAGATTACATTAAAAAAAAAAAAAAAGAAAAAGAAAAAAAGAAAAATATACTTACATTTTTTCGCATTTGGTACTCAGGATGCAGAGAAAGGCTTTCTTCAGAGAGCTTATGCTTATATTTCTTAATTTCTTCTTTAAGTTCCAAAACAGCTAATTGTTCAGAAAACTGAAAAGTAAGCAAAATATTATTTGCACTTGATAAGATGCACGTAATTTTTTTTCTATTTTTATTCATTAAAATGGTGGGAAAATTTCAGCCAAAGCAATTAACTTACATGCTTTGAAAAATCAGGGCAATTTACACATTTGAAATCTTGTAGGGAGCTTTCCAATGTTTCCAAACGACGAAGTTTGCCAACAAAATTACCAACATCTTTTAAAGTCAGATCTTTCAAATTTATATTAGCTGATGGAAGTCCATTGAGGTTTGCTTCACAAACAGAGCATAATTCTTGAAATGCTGAACTAATGGAATAACTTGGATTGGAATTCCTAATTTTAAACAGAACATTCTCCCTCATTATTTTCATCATAAAGGAAATAGAAATATATATATGCACAAAATTTTATTTTAAATAAATTCAAATATCAGCTGTCATTAGCTGTTTCTTAAAAAAAAAAAATTAATTAAGCTAGACAATAAAATAGTATTATTTTCAAAGTGAAATATTACAGGTTCATTAAAGACATCTTTTTAAAAAATTATTCTTATATTTATTGTAATTTAATACACTGCTGGCCACCGTAAATGCAACACCCTGAAGCATGCAAATAACATGAAATTTACAACATGCATTAGCGAAGGTGAGATATGCAAATAATTAGAATTTCAGCGCAAACGCACATCATGCACACCTGTGGCGCCACTTCAAAGCAATATTTATAGCCTTGAGTTTTCGACGATTTCAAGTTCGACAATTGTGTTTTTCTTGTGGTAAAAAAAAAAAAAAAAAAAAAAAAAAAATAATAATAATAATATTGCCTCGAAGTAAACAGCAACTATTGTTTGATCAAGTATCCGAGTTTGACAGAGGAAGGATAGTGGCCTACCGAGAGTGTGGATTATCTTTCAGGGAAATCGGTAGTTGTGTTGGACAAAACCAAACAACTGTAATGTGGATAAGTGACCGTTGGATGCAAGAGGGTATGACGGACCGACGTGTTCGATCGCATCCACCTCAGTGCACCACTTCATGTGATGACAGGAACATTGTGCACATGGCAGTGACAGATCGCTCATTCACATAACAAACCATAGCACAGCACATTCAGTCTGTAACGCATCATCCAGTGTCTGCGCGTACAATTCAGCGCCGTTTACAGCAGAGTGGTCTGTCTGCAAGACATCCATTGCTTCGTCTACCCTTGACGCAAAACCACAGACGTCTCCGCCGCCAATGGTGCGATGAAAGAAGGGTGTGGACAGCAGAATGGAATGAAATTGTCTTTACTGACGAGTCACACTTCTGTCTGCAACACCACGATGTTCGGATTCGAGTCTGGAGACACCGTGGAGAGAGGATGCTGAACAGCTGCACTATGCACCGCCACACTAGTCCTACACTGGGTATTTATGGTATGGGGCGGTATTGGATATCACTCTCGTACTCCTCTATTATGCATTGCCGGTACTTTAAACAGCCATCGTTACATCTCCGAGGTGTTGGAGCAAGTTGTCCTTCCTTACCTTCAGGGCTTGCTCACAGCCATATTTCAACAAGATAATGCGCGAACCATACGTGGCCTGCATTGTCCAAGGGTTCTTCGTCAATCACCAGATTGAATTGCTTCCTTGGCCGGCTCGCTCTCCGGATCTTTCGACGATAGAAAATATGTGGTCCACGGTTGCTGTTGTTGAACGATTGACCCAGATTACATCCCAAGCTGCCACACCACATCAACTTTGGCAACGTGAGGAAATTGCTTGGACTGCTGTACCCCAAAAACACATCCAAAGTCTCTTTGAATCAATGCCAAGGTGTGTGACAGCAGTGATCTCCAACAATGGCAGCTACTCTGGCTACTGATTCTTGAAGGAACCACACTTCACAGAAGTCTATAAATTTAATCATTTGATACTTGGTCAACATGTTATCTACTAAATAAATTTTGTTGTGATATCTCTTGTCTTTTTTGGTGTTGCAATTTGGGTGGCCAGCAGTATACAATTACTCATATTAAATAACACCATGAAGCAATTAAACCATTTTTCATGAAACTTTCAATAATGAATACAAAGTTACAGTCACTAAGAACTTTTGATAAATAATAATAACAATAAAAAAATAATTCTTCCCAACATACCAACTATAATAAAAAAATAATTAAAAAAACAGAACTTTCATTTAAAGTGCATAACAAACACAATTAAAAATGACAAAAAATTTACTTTGATAGTGCAAAAACCTAATAAACAATAAATTAGTGATCTGATTGTGATTAAATTTTTGTTTTACAGTAAGTACCTAAGTGAGAAATGTGATGCAAAGAACATAAATATTCAAACAAATATTTTTAAAACTATTAAATATATTGAAAATTTTCTTTCCTGCAATGGAAATACTATTTAGATTTAGAAATTTTTAGTACCACACTAAAATTTGATTACTTGTCAATGATTAACTACATTTGATTTATGTTAGTATTGGATATTAATAGTTGCATCTACCATAAATCAATGCATACATGCATGTGATACTGGGAAGCAGTAATTGCTGTAAAAGAAAAATGGATATTACACAAATATAAGACAGGAAAGTATAAAAATACATAACATAAGGTGAATGAAATACCTTAGTACTACTAGTGAAGTACTATACATTTTTTCTATCAAAGTTTTTTTTTACTTCGCTCCAAATCTTTTTTTCATTGTTTGCATGTATATAGGTGAGTGTTTGAGATACATGCATTAAAAACACAAAATTTAGGCAGAAGGATGCTTGGCAGGGAAAACTGATACACGGAGTCTAAATTTATAGACATCTAAATTCATAGAAATGAATACAAAATAGTACAAAAGAAATCCCAAGTCAAATAAAATATTACACTGGACTGCCGTATGTCAACAGAAGATAATTTGTGGCTGTAATTACAATTTATCTGTAGAAAAATAAATTTGGAAAGCAAAGAAAATGGAGTTGATGTGACAGTATTATCGTGCTATGATTTTCCATACGTTTTCAAGTGGGATTAAATTACGAAAAATGCCTTCAATGTCTACAGTTAGCCCATGGAAATGAAGCTTCATCTCATGCCATTGTTATTTAAATGGTTTACAGATTTCGTGGAAGTCAAAACTCTCTCCTGGATAAGAACATACAGGTTGTTGTATATACACACAGGTCATACAGGTCCTTGCCAGCTATAGTCCTAGAAAATATGTCATCCATATGAAAAGTGTTAATCAGTGACATAATTTGTCATTGGGTCTCCCATAATTAAGAGAACACCAAAATGTCAGAATCAGCAAAGAAACCTTACAATTACTTAATGATGAGAACACTGCATTATTTCTAAAACCATAACTGGTGATCAAATGTAGGTACCATTTTTTGACATTCCAACATGTCAAGAAAATAATGCATGGGTCTCTGAAGATGACTTCTAAACAACAACAGTGATGATAATGCAACAGCAAGTAAGGAAAAAGTACTTCGAGCTCTTCTCTACAGAAGTACAGGGCTGGTCAGAGCCATCAAGTTATAGTGCCAGAAGACAGTTACAGCTAATTGGTACATAAATATTCTTCTACAAATTCTTCAAGAAGTGAATATTAGGGGACTCATACTTTACCAGGATAATGCACCTTCTTATTCATCAAGACTGATAGTCAGTTCGAAGAAATGGATAGTTTGAAACATTTAATATGAGGAAAATTCATTTAATATGAGGAAACGTGCAGTGATGCTGGAGGAGATTACTTTGAACACACCTAAGATATGATAAGTCTAACACATATTTAGGTTATTTCTTAAAAAGTTCCATTTGTGAATGAGAGTGAGAATGATGCAAGATCAATGCAGTGCATATGCACATTTGCTCCCAAGATACTCTGCTCCCATTTAGACAACATTTGCAGTTATATTGTCCGTCTCTGTGTTAAGCTTATAATGTTTAAGAAAGTTGATAATGTGTGAAGCTTATAATGTTTAAAAGAGTTGTCCACTGACTGTGAGATACAATCTATAATTAGATTCTTGACTGCAAGAAACTTGGCAACAATGTAAATTAACCATTAGATTTGTGAAATTTATGGTGATAATGCTACAAATGATAGTACAGTTTAAAAGTGGGTGAGAATGTTCAAGAACTACAAGGTTAATGTGCAGGATGAGCCACACACTGGCCAACCTTCTATGATTTTTGAAGATTTGATTTGTGATGCAGACAACAAAATTTGAAAAGATCAATGATTCACTATTTCAAAATTATCAAATGATTTCTACAGGTCAGTTTTGTATACCACTTTCAGAAAAACTGAATTATCGAAAATTGTGTTGTCAGTGGGTTCCAAGACTACTTTTTGACGATCATAAAACAGAGAGATTCGGCTGCGCTTCATTGTTTTTGATTCAGTATGGTCAGGAAGGAGATGAATTTTCATACCACATCATTATAAGAGATGAGACTTAGGTGTGTGACATGATTTCCGAATCTAAGCAAAAGTTAATGGAATGGCGACACATATCGTCGCCAACCAAAGTGAAAGCTAAAGACACAATTTCAGTAAAAAAGATCATGGCAACTGTCTTTTGTGGTAGGAAAGGGATGCTGTTATTGGATTTTTATGCCAAAAGCCATAAGAATCAATTATGATGGGTATTGTGTTATCTTGAGAATACTGACGTTGTCCACTGACTGTGCAAAAAAAAACAAGCAGCATGTCCTACTGTCTTCTGCTGTGATGTTATTCCATAGCAATGGAAGGCTACATGTTTCTCCCCACGCATAAGGTATAATTAGGTCTTTTGCATGGGAACAACTGAATAATCCCCCCCTTACAGTCCAGACCTTGCAACCAGCGATTTTCACTTGTTTCAGTACTCAAACAAGTTCCTCGGTAGTCAATGGTTCAATGACGATGAACAACTGAAAACTGCGTCATGTATTGGACTTCTTTGCAGATGGCAGGTTTCGTTGGCATCAAAATTCAAAAACTTGCTGAAGGTATGAAAGATGTTAGAACAAAAATGAAAATTATGCACAAAAGCAGATGAACTAACCACAAAAATTCTTATTCATTTCAAAAGCTTTCTTATATATTTCCTAAAATGCTTTTGAAAAAGATGCCATGTATTCTTGCCATATTGAATAATAATGAAGAGATAATATGATTCCAGAATCTTTAAATTTATGAACATAATAACAAAATAAACAAATATTTATATCAGAAAATAAAACTGAAAAACTTACTGAATTTTCATCCTGCTCCATTGTTTTAATATATCCTTTTCATCAATCCGTAATACTTTATTTCCAATGACAGATACTTCTTTAAATATAATTGTTAAAACTTCAGGCTGTTTCTCATTTGGATAAAACAGTTTATTAGTCCATGGGCACAGACTGTCTTTAGATGTGCTGTTTTGGCCATTCTCCAGTGTTTTTTTCCCAGTAATAACTAGAACTTTACATTTGTTTTCTTTATCTACATCCAGCAATGTACCAAGAACATTTTGATACTGAGAGTTTGAAATGACAAGAACACGACCAGGTGTAAATAACTTATTTGCAACTTGAGAGCATTTCTTTTCCTATAAAGTATATTAAAAAATGAATTTCCATGTGTTCACAAATTTTTTATGTAAATTATATGCATCATTTTCCTTTTGCTTAATCATAATGAATTTCATAAAAACAAAATTAAGAATTAAATTATTTTCCTATAACAGATAAACAAAGTACTTTTTGTACAAAAGAATAAGAAACCATTCATATTGTTACGAATGTACAGACGCGGTAAGATGGCTTCCCCGCAAAGCAGTTATAAATTTGCCATAAAATAGCTAGGAGGGCAGGGTTGCCACATTTGGCGAGAAATCACCCATTTGGCGACATTTGGCAATATATACCATGGACAGTCGGAGAACCTTCTGGAACGAATTCTTACAGGTTTAGCCTATAATGTTCTCGAACACAGGCCGAAAGCTATATACACCCTGCTGGTACGCGGAGAGTCATTTAGTATCGAGTGCGAGTGCCTCGTCTAGTGCGAGATAGTGTGTGTCTCATCTTGTTAGTCAGTGCGGAGACGATCGAGTTGACAGCCGGGCAGCGAGTGCTGAGTGGGTTGTCGCGTGCACCGAAAGAGTCTTGCAGTGTATCGCTGTTAATGCGTCGACGAGAGAGCGTGTTGTGATCCGGGAATGACTGAACCGAAGAGTCGGGACCTGTGCTCTGTGTGTCATCGAGTTCATCGCAAGTTGCAGCGTAGAGAGTCTCGAGAGTACGTGGAGTTCCGAGAACGACCCAGCACAGTCGGGAGCTGTACCCTAGTGCTTTGCCATGAAGCTGTCTCCACCATGATAGCCTGATAACCTGGAGGCTGTGTCGCTGATCGTCTCAGGGTGTTTATAGTAGTTCATTGACGACTGTAAAATCATGTTTTGGAGCTGTCCTGATTAATACTGGCCAATAAAGCATGTTTCGATACTCTCATCAAGTGTCGTTATTATTCACTCCAAATCTACGAACATAAAGGAAGAAAATAACGTAACAACCGGTGTCAGAAGAATAGAAAAACGTAACAATATGCTTAATAATTTAAACAATGGGAGAAAAATTAGCAGAAGCTCTATTCTGAACAATTTTGATTTTTAATCCAGCCATTAAAAATTAAAACTATATTTGTTTTATATTTGATTTTAAAACTTTATGGTAAATCAATAGTAAACTCAAAATAAATAAACTCCTTTTCTTTGTTTAATATTTTATATTATGAATAAAACAAGAAAACTTCATAAAACTATCCCCTATTCAGAAAATAAAACCTTTCCATAACCTTGTTTATAAAGTGAGAGTGAGTTGGATAGAATTTTCATTCCGTCCATATAATATTTTTTATGTAAATATTAGTAATTGTTTAAACAACACTTTCTTGATTTAGTAACTTAATTAACTTACCATAACTTCTTCCCGTAGGTTTGTAGCTTCTTTTACTTCTTGGATATATTTGTTGATATCAATATTACAAATAGAACAATCCAGTTCTGATACTGAGTTTAATTTATTTGTAGCATCATGAAGCAATGCCTGATAATTCTTTTGCTGTTTCTGATTGTCAGATTCTCCAAATGACCGTTTCATTACATCTTCAACTCTGAAAGTTTTTATTTTTAGCAAGTTAAGGATCATGCTGTAGGTTAATTTAAATTGTGACTGGAGTTTAGTTGGTTGGCCCTAAAAAATTAAAAAATATTAAATATTTTGCATGCACATGAAATGGATGATGAGAATTTTCAGTAGCATAAAAGTTATTCAAATTATTATGAATCAATATTTTTTAAAAGTTATAACTAAAAACTATATACTAAAAAAAATTCCAATAAGCTACACCTCTAAATCATTCTCAAGGCACATAATTTAAAAGATGTGAAAAATAACACATAATTTTTTTATTTGCAAATTTAAAAGAAAAGTCTGAATATAATATTTACACTTTGATATATAATATTTTTTAAATACTAGTTAAAAATGAAACATTTCAATTAAAATATTTACATTTCACGAGAATGTGCAATATTTTTATTACATATTAATGACATATTTTATTATTTAAATGCTTGGAATGAATATGTATGGAAAAATAATATTGGAATATCTCATATTTATACATTTCTCACAGTTGGCTCTTAGAATTCTGAGTAAAATCATTTAACAGAAATTTTGAAAGCTTGATGTTTAAAATTTCAAATGAAAATTTACATTTATTATAATACATTTTTATTTTGTTTTATATTAATATACGCTTATTGAATTTTCAACCCAAAGTTAAAAAATTCTCGTTGTAGATATTTTTTTATAATATAAATAAGGTGTATTTTAATTACGGCAAAGCACACTAGGGCTATCTGAATAAGGGAAGGGATGCCTTTGTAGAGGACTTTCTAAGGGAAACTGGCTCGTATACACATTACACATGGGGAAAACCACGAAAACACCCATGCAGCCAGCCCATTTGCGGGATTCGAACCTCGGACCGAACTACCAGTTTTCAGTGACTTTACCGGTGGGCCTCAAATTATGGTAATGATCATTTCTAGTAATTTTTCTCCAACAAATCAAACTTTACCAGAATCAAAAAGTAATCAGATACTGTTCTGTTATCGGGATCAGATTCAGATATCGACAAAAGTTGACGATCTGGCGAAAAATTCAAAGCATGAAAATAAATGCTAAAATATTTAAATTACAATAAATAAAATAAGATACCATGAATGAAGAAAAATCCAAGGGGAAAAATAACAATTTATGTTCGTAAAATTAGAAATTTTTAACGTAAATTAAAGAACTTGCCAAAGAAAGCAGGGAAAAAAAAAAATTCAAAATCCAGTCTCTTAATTTCCTTCTGTCCAAGGATTCTAATTATTATCTTCAATTCCCTTGGCAAAAAAGCAGAAGTTATCCCAACTTTCAGATGCAGTTTAATAAGTTGATCAGCTAATAAAAGCATCATATGTTTTCTTTTCAGTTTTGTTCAGGATATGTCTGGAACAATATGTATAAACATAAATTCCAAGTATCTTTAGGCTCTGCTCTACAGCTTGTTTTCCCAGGATGTTTCAGACCAGGAAGCAAAATGATTATGTTATGCTTTGATGTTCGTACAGCCCGATTTGGTTCGTTTTTTTGCTCCATTTGAAGTGCTTTTTTCCATAAAAATGATCATTTTGTTCACAGTCATTAGAAAAACTATGACATTCATCTGCAAGAAAACTCAGATTCACTTTTATTTTCGCTGTGAATACTACATGATTCTTCAGAATCAGAGTATTCTACATCAAAAATATTGTTGACAAGATATTCAATTTCTTTCTGAAAGAGATATATAGGACGTTTTCTTGTAAAGTATGAAGCCATATTTATCACTTTTAGGAAAAACCAGCATACGATAAGTAACGTCTATCGTCTACTGAAACTGGCCCACATCTACTGTGAGCGGTCTCCCAGACCATTTAAAAAGTAAAAAATGTGATAACTGAAACCATAATAAAGCTAAAAGTGTGAAACTATATATATGTATATGTGACCTTGTAGAATGGGTTTGGGAAGGTAGGAGGAAGGACAGGGACCATTCTCATTTTTAGGGGTGGAAACGACAGTGAGTGAGTGAAGGGTATAGCCTTGATAAACTTTTCTTGCTCCATTTTTTTCTAGGAAACTAACAGTGGATACGTAAAGCAGCTGCTTGCTTTACCATGATGCAGTTCCACTGATTGATGACACTGCGGGTAAAGAGAAGGTATTTCATATTTAAAATATGTTCCTGATAATATGTGAACTTGACCTTTACAGTTTTCTGCTCTCTCTTTAATTTTTATTTGTCATTATACAAAAAAAAACAACAACAATTAAAAATCCCTTAGAAAAACTTTCTTTAGATTCTTTGAATCATGTTCTCAGATATTTTTTTTTCTTTTTGAAGGTAATAAATAGGTCTCTTTTTATTGCAGTCATTTAAATATGCCCACAATTCATCTATTGTGACAACATTTTTCCATTTTTGTCTGACTAATTGTACTGCATAAAGAATTCTGCTTTTGGTGATATATCACAAAGAAAGATGACGCACGTTATGTTTTTTCGTCTTTTTAGGATCGAAATCACCATTTATTTTTATGTTTACAGTTGGCACTGAGCATTTTAATGATTATGCATCTGTCCTTTGAAGATTTTCTCTTAAAATTAAAGTTTTGCAACATTCGAAACATTCCGTTTTTTCCTTGGATATGTATGAACAATTTTTCTCCTTGAAGCCAAACTTTGACATTTTTTTCCCTTTCTTATTAACAATATTACCTATTGTTGCTTTAGATACCAAAAAAATCATGGCTTTCATAGCATTTTTTTAATAACTAAATACAAATAACTTTCTTCGGAAAGAGCAGAAACCCAGCCATCGCCCAGTCATAGTCCATCGCTTTGTAACAGTAAACATTTTGAAAAATATAGTTGCAGTTAAAAAGAAATTTTTCCAAGCAGGTGACTTTTTTTAAACAGCAAAGCAAAGTCGTTTAAAAAATGCACGAAGAGCCTCTGTGTATATTCTGAAAAGTATCAGAAATGAAAGAAAAATAAGTAGGACAGAAACTTGAATTTTTGATATGAGTCTTTAGTAGTTAAGAGTGATAACTGACAAGTCTTTTCATATAAGTGGAACACTACATGGCTAAAAAACTTTATTTTGTATTCCGTCTGATTACATTATGACTTTTTAATTAATGCAAAACATCAATTAAAGTTAAAATTAAAATACAAAATTCTTTTATGTTTCGAAAAACTATAGTATATCAAATGCAGTGAAATTTGAAAAACATATCATATTAATAAAAATTATTAAGTACAACTCCCAAGTTAAAGCAAAATAAGGCTCATTAATATATACTAACTTTTGTTGGTCTGCTAAATCAATTTTTTGTGTTTCATAAAATTAACTAATAGTATTACATTTGTCATTTCACCATTTAATACTATATCTTCCAATCAGCTTTTGTCATATGACCATTTAATACTATCTTCCAATCAGCTTTTTACACTTTACGGATGAGAAATGAGTTCTGCTTAATGTAATTATATGGACAATTCATCATATATGCATTGCAGCCATCAGCAACTGATTGTTTCTTGAATTATTTCAATGCTGTATCATCTTAATATTTCAGAATATTATTCAATGCATTCTGTCTATGATGTATGCAATGAAGTATATATGATATGACATGTATACAAGTAGTTAAATAAGAATAAAAATCAATGTAGGTCAACTATATGATATACAGTCAAGTAAAACCCCGCTATAATAATCCCAGCTTATAAAAAACAGAAAAATAAGTAGGAAAACCATCCATATGTAATGAACGAACCTTATGGTCCTGTCCAATTTCCTGTACACTGAATGCTATTTTATACTGTTATAACAAAAATACAAGAGTATGAAAATTGGATATTCCAGGCAGGTGACTTATGGATATCTCCAATTAAAAAATGTTTTATACTTTCATATTTTTTCCATAATTTCAACAAGTTTTAATTAAAAAAGCTATTTGTTAAAATCATCTACATTTAGGATGTTAGGATCCACATTCCATCTACAAAGAAGCTGAATTTTGTAGGTTAGGTTATTTGAATATGGCAAAGCCACAAAAGCTGTCTCTCTAAAAGAAGAACAGAATTTTGTCTGGTAGTGAAATTTAAGAATTTGATGGATGATGTTATGACGGAAATTTTTGTAATTCAAGGAAAGAAAGAGTAGTGAATCTTATGAGCTTACAGTTTGGATATAACAATTCTTTTAGGGAATGAATATTTTCGATCTTCTTGGTTTGTTTTGTTTAAGAATAAATGCTCTTCAAGTTCTAAAGGGATTTTCATACTTCAGGTCTTTTGCAAGACATAAGCTATTCTTTACAAAAGTTAATGAATCGCCATGCAGCAACCAGCATATCTTGACAGGAATGATTCTGTTTTCCCTGAATAAGATATGTATGTAATAAAATTATCTCCTTGTTTCATCTTTTCTAGAAGAGCAAAGATTTTACATATTCTTTGGACACTCTCACATATGCTTCTTACAAACTCTCACATATTCACATACTCTGCACACTGCTTCTGCTTCGAAAATTCACCCACAAGGCAAACTGTAAACCTATTGGAGATAAGAAGAATATCACTCAATACAAAATGGAGGCAGTCAAATCAATATCTGGCCAGAAATACAGTTTTACCAAATATACAGTTGGTACCATGTTAAAAAATCAATAATTTATAATGTAATTTCTGCTCATGGAAAAAATTTGGATACGAGGAAAGGTCAAGCAAAGGGACATTTAAGAAACATTGCTGAAAGAGTTTGCCATTCAAAGAAGATATAATTTACCATTATCTGAATGAATTCTTCAGAAAAAGTCCAAATGAATTTTCCAGGCACTCTGGAGAGACTGGAAAACAACCAGCAACAAATTTAATAACTGTGCTTAATAATAATTGCAATTAAACCTTAATATGAATCTTTTTATATTTGAGCTATTATTTATTTCTTTTAGTATGTGACAATGTTAATTGGTTTTTTTCTTTCTTTCTTTTTTTTTTCAAATCTTCATTCAGTTTCTGCAGGCTTTTGTACGACATTTTTCTTATCGCATCAAATATAATGAGCCACTGGATATAGAGAACAAGCTTGAAATTCATTATAGCATATAACAACATTCAAATGTAGAATCAAGAACTTGCAAAAAATAAATAAAGAAAATTAAACTTTTCCAATTATATGTATATATTTAAAAAGTAAATAAATAAATAAAATTTATATTTTTTAAAAATTAAACCTATATAATCTTCATATTACTTACAAGCATCATATTTCTAAGAGAAATGGGATCTGGTACATCAGCTTTACAAAGCACAATGACTATTCCCTCCTTATCCAGGCCACGACGACCTGCTCGTCCCGCCATTTGAATAAACTCGGATGGTTCTAGATATCGAAAATTTAACCCATCATGCTTACGTATAGAGTCAAATACTACAGTCCTGGCTGGCATATTCACACCCATTGCAAATGTTTCTGTAGCAAACAGGACCTAAATTTTTAAACATACGATTATTACAAACGTTAATTTCAACATTTGAAAAACAACATAAAGCCTTAATTTTAGAGGAAAGAGAAACACAATTGTAATCCATGACAGAAAATTAATTGGATAGTAAAATGTACATATATGTTACTTTTTTCTTTGTCATATTTAGTGCATGGTTAATTAAAGGATTTTAGATTTAGAAGAAAAGAGATGAAAATTTTCAACAAAATAAACAAACACACACAGACACAGACACACACACACACACACACACACACACACAAAAAAAAAAAAGAATGAAATTTGAATTAAAACAATATTCTATACAGCAAATCAGACAGTTCTTATCCATCATTTTGTATCAAGTTATGCAACAATCAATCAGCATAAATTTGCAAAGTCAAAAATTACGTTTTACTTGTAGCTAACATTTTATTCTAAAACAAGTAAAGAAGAGATATTTTTTTAGTGAAATCAGATTGCTGCATACATGGGAAGAACAACAGTTGAAAAAAAAAAAAAAAACCTACATAAGAAAAATGGTAAGAATCACCCAGATGGAGCCTACTAAGGTACCGAAGGGCCCGGGTTTGAATCTTGAAGAAGATATGGATGTTTGTAAATGTCACTGCAGCATTATGGCACTCTAAATATGTGGTGAGCCTCTCGTCTGGATTGGTGGAAAAGGAGAGGGGTGGGAGACTCCCAGACCCCTCCTGGGAGTGCTCTCCTCAAAATTGGGAGTGAAAAAAAGAAGTCCAAACTCTCTTTGGAATAGTCTCGGGCAACCATTGTTCCACGTAATATGGACAAGACAACAACAAAAAGGTAAGAATTTATTACCAATCTTTCTCGCTTCTTTAATTTCATTGATTGACTTATGTTTTATGAAATTCTTGGTGTACCATCATTTTAAAAAATGCTCCAGCCTTTTGTGCATTACTCTGGTGAAACATTTGTCATTAACATGTTTATGAACATGCTCCAAAGTCGGCGATGAGATTGCAATTTTGTGGTGGAGGTGTGGATAATTAGAAGTAGGCTTGGGCGTCATTTGGCAGAAGTACTTCTTAGTTCCCTTATGTAATACAGAAATAGCTTGCATATGAGTACTGTGAAACTCCTTGTTATTTTAATAGGAAATAAACCACATTTTGTTCACTATTTGTAGCGACGAGGCAAAAGAATGTATGAATTTAGCTCATTTGTGCAATAAAGCAGTTATGAGTTAGCCTTATACCATTATAAAATTCATTAAAAGTTTAACTGCATACCTTTACTAATCCATCTTGAAACAGCAGTTCAACTATTTCTTTAAGAATGGGCAAAATACCACTATGGTGCACTCCAAAGCCACGTTCCAATTGCTCTTCCATTAGTTTAATCTTAAATGCAAATATTGAAAATTATGCAAAAGTTAATACAGATAAAAATCATTCTATTTGCAGCTTTTCATATTAAAATACATACAAAGAATTCAAATGTTACTTTAACAAAATAAAAATAATATAAGATTTTAATAGCAATTTCATTCAATACCTGAGATAAAAATACTCATAGATTTTTTAAATATATGACTCAACAAAGTTGACTTTATTACATATACAGTAAGTACTCGATGAGTGCAGATTTTCAGAATGCCATTTTACACATACACATTACTTAAGTTATTTCCATTTAACCTGTCCAATGCTAAAATTTTATTTATATGCAGTATACTGCAATTAGTTAGCCACATGAAATTCATTCATACAACTGACATAAGAAAATCATTAAAGAAGTAAAATATTACTCAGAAGAGAAAACTCTGAGCTTTAAAGTTCTCCCAGTTCTCAAAAATGCTCCAGAATATAATGCTTGAAGCCCTCACAACACTGCATCCAAATACAGAGGTTTTATTCCTCCCACCTCTCACCACTTCCTTAATCCAAGGGGAAAGGGATCAAGCAATATAACCATAAGCCACTGCACAGAAATGATTAAACTTGCATGGAAACAAGTGAATTTATGAACACTGAATGCTTGCTGCTGTTAGCTCTGATCAGAAGTTGTCAAGAGCTTTAAAGGATTTCTAACCATTAAAAATAAAGTCAAATAAATCACACAAAAGCAATCAATGGCAAAGAATTTTCAGATATGAAAGGAAGAGAAGTCAATTAATCTAGAAGGATATTTGAGAAATGACTCTATTAGGTGAAAACCACTCCCACTTCTTCCATTCATAAGATTCGTTTAGAAAGAACATTAAAATGCTGTTCTACAAATATTAAGGCAAAAATTACCTTTAAACACACTTTTCTAACTATAATAATTCTATTTATCTCTTAATATTTAGTATTAATGATGTATTTTAAAGGTTTTTACTTGTTTAGTAGCCACAAAATATTCTTTTCACAATTTGCATTCTTCAGAGTTATTGTTTTGAAATTTAATTTGAATGCTATTATTAATTTATTATTCAAAGTTTTCTTATATGCAAAATTTGTATTATTTATATCTAACACAAATATTTTAACATTTACTAAGAGTTTTTGTTTTATTATTATGTTTATTGTTATCAATACGAAACTTAGTTTTCTGGTCTATTGATAGCTTTATGATACTGACAAAATTACTTGCTTCAGATTACAATACTTATTTGCATCACACATTAAAAAAAATATTAACTTTAAATTGTTCTTTATACTGCATTTTCTTATCTTTGGATTCACTTTTTTTTTTTAATTTAGGGACAGATGAATGACTATATTGATTTATTGGATATTTTTTCTGATTTAAGATTAATTTTATTCATTTGTACTTTTGCCAGTTCAGAAACCGGATTTTTCTTTTACATTTCTCGGCACACCAACACTCTGATGAAGATTTACCATGAGATGCAAAATCTGTTTGTCTTAGATGATAATTAAGATGCAGAAAAGGTTAAAAAATAGTGCTAAAGAATGGGTGCAGATTATCCCCATAATGATGTGAGAATCAGTAATTCTAAAGAATTGGGTTTTGCTGCAATTTTTATATCTCATTATAACATCTAACAAGTAATATAATTCTGATGAAAATTCCTTCATAGTAAAGTAAATGAGGAAGGCTTTAAATTTAGATTTTATGATAAAGATCATTAAGATAAAGATCATTAATACTTAAGAGAATGGGGGGGGAGTGTAGAAATAGCATGCAAAGAAAAGTTGTCACATTCAACCATTTCCACGACAGCAAAAGAAGATACCAGAATAAAGAAAAAACTAAAATACAAAGAGTGTGAAATGTGCAGTTTTGATAAAAAAGAAGAAAAAAGATCTTATTCATGAAATATAAAACTTAATTACATACATCACTCTAACAAAATATTCCTCTTGGTTTATTAATTATAAACAAGAAAGCATGAAACCTATTGGGTAATTTAAAAAAAAACCGCAAAAAATAATAAAATAAATAAATAAATATAAATAAATAAATATCACTAACTAACATTTAATGCTAGTACAGGTTTTTGTTTATTTTCAAGTCATAATTTACATAATGTATGATAACAATTGATTTTCAAACTTCTGAAAATTTCTGGTAAGTCTAAAAGAAATGGTAATGATGAAAATTATTTGTCATAACACATATTTAAAACCAGACTGTTCTGGAAAGGAATGCCAGAATAATCTTACATATATAGAAAAGCTGCATAAAGAAGGCTTGCATTTCTTTTTGAAGGAAATTATGCTGATTTTAAAATAAAACCAATTTTTATTTTTCGTCATAAAACCCTACAGTTTAAAAAAAATATTGACAAGAATAAATTATCTATCTACTATTACGAATGCCTGAATGACAGTTGTTTTATCTGGAGACTGGTTTTTAATTCAGGAAATTTTCTTGTTGCTCGACAGTGTTCCATGATATCATGTTCAAATTAGCGATTTAGAAGAAAATACAAATAAGATATATCTACCACCCAGTACAACAGCTGTGATTTAATCTATGGATGAATTTTCGACTGCCATATTCAAATCATATTATCTGAGAACTATATTTTCTAAAGCAATAAGAGTAACTGACAGTGACTTTACAATATTATATAATTTTGGAGAAAATATAGTTCTAATCAATGAATCCAGAATTATGGAATTTTGTGAAAAGAAGTCTCAGAACGCTGCATGCAAGGGGATATGGAAAAAGCTGCAGCTGCCACAGGAAATACTGTCAGAGTAAAATAAGCATGGTAACTTAAGTATGGCAAAGAAGTTATTGAAAAAGACATTTCGACAATGCTCCGTGAATGACAATTTATGGTCATTTCGACAATTTATGGAGATGCAAATGAATTAGTGGATTATGAAGAAGGTGAACTGACTGATGAGAATTTATTTAATTTAGAAAAAAAAAAAAAAAAATAGAAGAAAAAAGGGACAACTAGATGATGAAGAGATGAACTATCAAAACAATTTACTACAAACAGATTATCTGAAGTATTTTCTAAACTGTAAAGGACTTCAGATACTTGAAAATACACATCAAAACACTGATCATTTCGCTGAAGTAGAAAATTCAAACTCTAGAAGCAGTCATATGTTATCATGAAATATATGAAGGTAAGAAAAGGATGAAACCAAACACACAATATTTACCAATTTTCTGATTGAAAATATTCCCGATTGCAATGAGTCATCTAAATGCATAATAATAACTCCCCTGTGTTATGTTTAATTAAAGCCATGTTTTTTGTATTTTTATTCATGTTAACTAATTTAAAGGAACACACTATAGATTAATTTTATAAAATATATAATTATGTAGCGCTTATGTATACATGTACAAATAAATTTTTTATAAATGTCACTTAAGCTCATACATCCTTAAACTTATTTTACATTAAATAAAAAGTTTATTTATAAAAATATTGTTGCATTTTTCTCTTCTTCTTTATGTATGTTATGGTATGGGTTCATGTGTATTTGGAGTGAATACCTATGATAGCACATGATGGAATATCAAAACACACTTTATTGGCCAGTATTCTCAGAGCAGCTTCTTTTACAGTTGTCGAAGAACTACTATACACACGCTGTAACAATCAGCGACACAGTCTTCAGGTAGTCAAGGAATGGTAAAGACAACTTAACTGCAAAGCACCAGAGTACAGCTTCCGACTCATTCGGTCGGAAGCTATACTCTGGTGCTTTGCATTCCCGGAACTCAGCTCGGTCATTCCCGGAACGGTCAGCTCGGTCATTCCCGGAACTTCACATACTCTCAAGACTCTCCACGCTACAACTCGGAATGCTCTCAACGATAGAGTACTAGAGTACAGCTCCTGGCTCCTTGGTTCCATCATTCGCGGAGCTTAGCACGCTCTCTCAATGATGCACTAACCGCGATACACTAAGAGACTCTTTTGATGCACTCGACGACCAACTCGGGACCCACTGATTGATTATCAACTTGATGTACTCCTCACGGACTAACTCTCAGCGTAATCAGCAGGTTTTATACAGCTTTTGGCCTGTGTTTGAAAACATTCTGGGCTAAACTAGTAAGAATTCGTTCTAGAAGGTTCTCCATCTGTCTATGGCATTTCGCCAATTTTGTCGCCAAATAGGCGATTTCTCACCAAATGTAGCAACTTTGCCTTTCATTCCATGGCATCATTATAATGGCACTCATCATAAGTTGAACTACACCTATATGCACACACATGCACGCGTGTGTGTGTGTATATATATATGTGTGTGTATGTATTAAAAGCACATTTAGAAGTACTGATGTAGGAACACTGAAACAGAAACATAGCAAATAACGAATTGAAGAGGAAGAATTCTGATTGCCTAATATGCTAAAATGTTAAATCCATAGTGATTAAAAAATTTGCCAACTGAGTAAAATTAAATATTAATTTTTATTTCAATTGACATTTATGGCCACAATTTACTTGGCACTCTAACTGTGCCTATTTCCAGAACACTTGAATTTTTGATACTATTGCAATAAGAAGGGAGCATAGCGAAACAGCATCTAAGCAACAGAGGTAGAAGCTAAGTTTGCATTTATCCAATATGGAAGATCGCCAAGAGGAAGGTTTTAGTTTAGGTTAGAAAGGTTTCAGGTCTCGAAATTTTGAGTTCAGGTTCCGAATAAGTTACATCATCAGCTTTACACAAGCCATGCAACATAGATTGATCTAGAATTAAAAGGCTATTGCTAAATTTAATTTTAAAGCTGACTTACATATTTTTTTATCTTACATGTATATGTATATATATATATATAATTAAAGGATAATATTCCTATTAAAATTCTATTCCTTCCTTACATCTAATTATTTATTAATATTTTTATGTATATGTATATATATACTATATAAGTAACTGAGTAATATATATATATATACTATATAGTAATAAAAAAATATATATACTATATAAACACACAAATATTAAAATATTTATAAAATTAAGATGACAGATGACATTATACATAAACATTCTAAAAAATTAAATAAAAAAGAATAATTTAAAAAAACAAACAGAACTGCACACCTGTGGAAGTTGTTGGTCTTCTTTTTTCAACTGTGTAATGCTTTGATGAAAAAATTTATGAATTCTATTCCTTTCTTCTTTTGTCACAAGATTCTGACTTGTCAACATTTCTGCATGCTCATTACATTTTTTTCTTGAAAATGTAAAACATACAGCAGGAAGGAGATCATTTTTCTGCAGATGTTCCAGAAGACCAATATACACATTTTTCTCCTAAATCCAAAACAATAATAATTAAATGTACATTTTCAATAAAAAAATAAAATATGAAAGGATACTATGAAGAATAAGAATTACAGTAAAAGATAAATAAAATATTAAAAGTACATTCTAAAAAATTAAATACATCTTGTTACAACTCAGCAGTACACAGCATTTTCTTACTTTAGTAGTAATCTTAAATTATCAATTAGTTTTTTGAGAGAAACTATGGTAGGCAACAAAAATGGCAATAATTTTGACAATGAATATCTTCCTTCCTGCAGCAATTATTCCTTAACCTATGATATGCATCAGAAGAACAAATAATTATCTCCTAGGTCTTGAGAGTAGAAGGCTCAGAGATAAAGAGTTCAGAATCTAACCTAACTGACAACTTACTCAATCAATAAATTAACTAAATTAAATAATTTTTTCCTCTCATATTTTGAGATTACACCACAGGGGACATAGCAGTATCAATCAGAAACACAAAAGAAAGTCAGCCAGCTTGTTGCCATCATTACACAGTAAGCAAAGTAACTGGTGCTTAGATTACTGCCAATTTCAAATCCAAGCCCCTTTTTAATTTTTTAATGAAATTACAATAAATTAAACGATAAAATCTGGAAACACATAAATAAATGCATATGCTTCATACCTTGTGGTTATGCTTAAATATAATGTGATTTTAAAAATCTTATTTCATTCAAAATTGATCAAATTTTTTTACAGAAAATTTAAACATATACAGACGAACCTCGAGATACGAGCACCACTCTACATAGGAGAAATTGGAAATATGAGGAAAGTACGAGCGAAAAAGTTATCTCTAAATATGAGCATTGACTTGAAGAACGAGCAACGAGACAGGCTGTTGGTATGTGTAGTGTGTTTCCCGATCTGGCTCGATTTGAGGAATCTCCTCATTGGATCACTCGGTTGAACAACATGTTTCTGTGCTTGTGAGTCAATTGTTTTTTACATTTAATGTGAAAATAATTATTTCATGATGCCCCCCCCAAGAAGATTCTTGCCTCAGATAGTGCTGCAAAGAAAAAGAAGGAAGCCATGGCCATTAAAATTAAGAAAGAAATCTTAGATAAGAAAATCACCCTAATAAAGCAGTGTGTGGGCGCACCATGAACTTGTGTAATGACAATGTATTGCATTTTAGAGGCATCTTAAAAGAGCCAGAAGCAAGTGTTATTAGATTTTTTTTTTTTTTTTTTGGTAAAGCAAGCTGCAACTAAAAGAAAGTGATTCTGACCTAGAACATGCTTCCAGTGGAGTAAAATTCTCAAGAAGAGAGAGCCTTCCTAAATCAGAAGGGGACTCTTCTTCCCCACATCCCTATCGCCAGTCACGACTCTTCATAAAGGTAAACTATGGTTATATTATTTACCAGGAAAATTGATTTTTATGTTGATATTTTTGGTGGTGCGGAACAGATTAACTAGATTTCCATTATTTTCAATGGGGAATTTGTTTCTAAATATGCAAAAATTTGCTATATGAGCTCAATGATGGAACAAATTAAACTCATATCTCGAAGTTCCTCAGCAATATTAAAACATTATTTCCAAACTAAATATATTACAGTGAATGCATACAATTAAAATACCTATGTACATATTTTTTCATAGAATACAGAAATAGTAAGTATTTATTAGGTAAAAAAATTTTCATAAGAAATGTTTTTTATTGGATGAAGATGTTTCCATATAGGCTATGAAGTTTGCTTTTGAAGAAACAGTTTCATTGCTTATGTGGGAAGCTGACTTGTTATAAATTAAGGAATGCAAAATGCTTCTGCAGCCAGCTTGCTCTGTTCAAAAATAGAATGCCCTTGGCAACTAACTACATTAATACAAGAATAAAATAAAATGGTACAAAAATTTTATATATTAAGACACAGACAAGGTCAAAATTCATAAATTTCTTTTCAATTTACCATTTAAACAAAATTTGTGGCCTAATTCTCAAATAATAAGCAATTTACCACATTTCTCCTAAGTATGATTTCATTAAAGAATTTGAATAAAATCATAACATCTTATTAATATGTTATACCAATATGCAATTTACTTTTATTGCACAATAACAATTTCAATATGCAATTTTTTTCAGTTATTCCAAATAAAAACAAACAAAAGCATTGGCAAACATTTTAATAACATTAAGTTTAAAACTTAAAGAAATTATGAGTTCTTTAAGTTTTGGAGTATTTTAAGAAAGCCAGGATTAATAACAACACAAAACTCGGTTATCAGAAACACATACAAGTTGACAGCTACAAATGGTTAAAAATAAAAAGAAATTAATAAACTTTTTTTATTTACTGTTTCATGCAAAAATCCACTATTAAAAACTATAAGCTATATTATAAACTTTTCAAACTATATTTATAGTTTAAAAACAAGTGACCAACACTTTTGTACAAAGTCTTAATATACAAAATATCTTTATTGGAAATTTTAATGGTTTTAATTACCAGTAAATGAATATTCATTATAGTAATTGAAAAATTATTGTTAAGAAGTATTCAAAAATAAGTTTGAAATTAAAACAATAGAAAAAAATTTTACTGGCTTTTGTCTTTTGCATAGATATTAGTTGAAAACACATATTTTTCCTTGATCTTTTGATATGTCAGCCATGTGCCTGTTTTCTGATATTGACTTCCAATAAATCCTGCATTATTATTCACTCACTCTGATGACCGATGCAAATCATTATGCTACTAGCTTCCTGTTGTCATTTATCAATTCTATTTGTCATGCAAAATCCGATAATAATCCTGAACATGACGTAGCTCAACCTTATACATTTTATTCAACTTTATCATTGTAACTGCAGCTTCAACTACCCTTTTTACTGCTACAGTAGCAGCTGATGCAGCTGGTTATTGAAAGATTTAGTTAGTATTCTCTTCTTCCAAAGTACCACACATTTGCATCTGTGAGCTATTCCAGTATCTGAATGACCCCTAGTTTGTAGCATATCCTCTTATCCTCTATATTGAAACAAAAGTTAAATTGATTATTCCAATTAAAGCTAGCTGCAAACATAAACAACATATGTAGCTGCCTATTGAGGCCAATTTTTAATTGAGTACCAATTAAGCTGTTCTCACAAGTGACAAATAAAGGCATATTTTGCTCTAAGTTATTGCCTACTTTATGTGGCATCAAGTGCACAACCATTCATGAAATTCCACTGTCTAAGCCACTTTTCCCTTCTCGTTGAATACATACATTATTTGAAAATGGTGCTTGAATTACAATTAGAGGAAGGAAACCAGCCATGAAAATTACTATGTCATGGAATAATTCTAGAAGTAATTCAGAACTGGGAATTCACAAGTCAAAAGGAATTACATAAGGAAGAAACATATACTGAAATTAAGCAATTTAGGAATCAAAGCTATTACAGAATTTCAACAAAGTATTCTGCATAAAGTTGCACTTATAATTTCCTATAAGTTATTTTATTGCAATGATATAAAAATTGTAATAAATAATACAAAAATAACAAGAAATCAATAGTCATAAAGGACTAAAAATAGTCATAAAGGACTAAAAAAATTTTAGAGCAAAATGTGCTTAATGTAGCATGCATATTACATGATTTAATATCACACCACAAACAACTTACGAAAGTCCTTAATTAATTACATGTTGTTTTGTTAAGAAACACACAGAAAATTGACATATGGAAGTTTAAACATTTTGAAAAAGATATTTCGGAAAGAAAATATAGAAATACAGTATTTTCACTCCACTTAATTTATATGCAAAAACTAAATTTACCTGAGCAGGAGTTATAATATATTTGGGGCCTTTCGGCCCAGTTGACTTTGATTTAGTATCTTTCTTCTCTTTACTTCTGCAAGCTTCCATGTATCTAAGATATACAAATCAAACTTTACAAGCTAAGATCTACCAAGTTCTGTCTGAAACATGAAATTTAATAATTCTAAGAAAGCATAATACAGTTACAAGTGTTATAAAACATAATAATCATATAAATATCTTAAGAATAGCTTACTTATCATCTAAAAATTTCCCAGAAATATCTACTATTTTAAACATGTTTTTTTCATTTTTTCCAACACTGCCAGTGTAAAGGTGATAAATTAAAGGCACAGGACGCTTGAGTGTTTTGATGACATATATTTTTCTTTTCTTGATACCACTGAAATATGTGCAACAAATTAATAATATTGAAATAAATAATAATCAGACAAATTAAAACAACAGTAGCTAAAAAAAATTACCACTTTTAAGAGAATAATAAATTATTTAATTACTTTAATGCAAGCAAAGATAGAAGAAAAATGTGCAAAATTTGTATGCAATGTGTAATTCTAAATTTCAGTCAATTCATTTTGATAGATAACAATTAGAAAACAGCAGAAAATTTGAAGGAAAGTTTTAAATAAAGAAATTACCCAAGCCATTCTGCAAAGTCAGCAGTGTTTGGAACAGTTGCACTCAGCATAATTAAATTCACATGGTCTGGTAGCATAATAAAGACTTCTTCCCAAACAACTCCACGCTACGGAATAAAAAAAATATCAAGATATACAATTAGAAAGGTTTCTCACTCTTCAGAAAATCCAAATAAAGACTACCTAAAAATATCATTCTTAAAGAAAAAAAAAAAAAAAAAAAATGTGTCTTGTACTTTGAAAACTAAAAGAAAGTTACAAACACTTTGATAAATAATAGCAATACCTGCTTTTAATGTAGGAAAAATTACCATGGCATTTAAGTGCATAATACAATGCTAACACAATAATGTATGAATGTGTGAAATTTTTTTTTTGAAAAGACAGTGTCTTTCATGAATGTTAAAAACTTACGATAACTTCTGGAGGCAGAGGCTTTAATCTGTGTAAGGCAGTCTACTAGACTGCAAATGGCAATGGAGCCCCTGTTCTATGGTGTAACAAAAATGAAAAAGAAAAAAAAAAAAAAAAAAAAACCACTAGACATAAAACATATATTTAGTAATATCCACATATTTTTCATTTAGCAGTTAAATTAGTGACTGTAGTTTGAAATTAAAATCTTAATTTAACCGGAAATTATTTTTTAAATATACTGATAGGGATAAAAAAAAACATATACACATATATCATATTTGACAATCATAAAAGCAACAGAAATTATATTTCATTAATAATGAATATTTTTTATTAAAAGATAACACCCCATCAAAAAATGAAAGAAAATAAAAAGAAAAATGCAAAATTATTGAAAATTTAAAATAAATCTTACTTCTGCATCATTGATGTAATGAACTTCATCAAAAATGACCCATTCCAGTTCTCTTATAACATCCGAGCCATGATAAAGCATTGATCTGAGTGGTAAGAAAATAATAAAATGATCAATAATAAAACCACCATTTAAATTATGTCAATCTTCTGATGCAATTCTTTAGTTCTGAAAAGCATAATCAAATAACTATCAGCTTGCAAATTTGAGAATTTTTACAGATTTAGTTGTTAAGTTCAGCAGTAATAGATATCACAGTGGAGATTCTACCTTGGTATGGATTTCTGGTTTGTCTTAATATGGGTAAGTTATATCAAAATGGAAATAGAAGTCTTTTCAAAGTCATACAATGAATAAGGGAAAAATGTTTGAAAAAAATTAAAGTGGAGGAGAGAGTAGTTAGTCTCAAAGCATGGCATTTGGCCTCTTGTGATGGTATACTTCACAGAAATCAGTCATACACTGGGAATTTTCCAGACATTTTAAAATAACTATATGGCAACTCACAGAAAACTGGAGTATCTTACAAACATCTATTTTGTAATAGCTAATTTTTTCTCTCATATACTATGGACAGTACAGATCTGTTGATTAAAGCAGTGCCCCCAAATGCAGACTGCATGCAGGGCAAATATGCAATCTAAAACCAACTGACGAGCCAGATTATTTTATGCAAAATAAAATATTTTTAACTGAATTTTAAATTTTATTTACTAAATACTAATCAAAATATGCATAAACAGTAATAATAATGACACAAAATTTCACATTTATGCTGCTTGGAATGGTAAGAGGAACTTCAAGCACAAAATATGTAAAAAAATATCATATTTACATAACTTGTGCTGAAGAACAAATGTTGAAGATACTGTGGAAGCAACATGAAACAACATAAGCTACATAAATGGAAAAATATTCATATTTTCACATAAAGGTAATTGTAGAATGGAAAGATTTACTTATTTATTTTATACATAAATATGACAACAACAACCATCTTTTTTTCTGTTCTTATGAAGACATATTATCGTCATCATTATATTACAAGACTATCTTCAGAACACAGACATTTCAAAATAATAAATAAGAAATCATTTTTAGTGTAACTTTCAATTATGCAAAAAGTTTTCAAGTCAGAATTTTTTCATTTGCCAGTTTGCAAATTTTACTTTAGGAATTACCTCATATTTTAGTATAATAAAGAGATATTTTTAGATAGTATGCTTTAATTAATACATCAAAATTACAAATAACAGAAATATGCTCCAGCAGTGGTCTCAAATATAAATTGCATGCAGGCCAAATATACAATTTGAAAACAGCTGACAAGCCAGTTATCTTTTAAAATGAAAATTTTTTATTGATAAAAAAGGACTTCAATAAATTTCGTTTACTAAATATCAGTCAAAATATACAAAAACAATAATAATATTATCACTAAGGGAAAAAATTCAAATTTATATTTATTTTTTTATCTGAAATCTAAAGACTGATATCTACAAGAAATGCTGCTTCCTTATGCTTCATAATTCAAATGTACTGACAGCTAAATATTAAATTTTCAAACTGTCATCTTTTATAATACACTGAATTAACCTTTAAATGAGAATTTATATTTTCTTTCATTTATTATTGTTTTCTTTGATACATACAATATATACATATATATATATATAAACAAACTTCTTTCAGCTATAACTGATGGCATTTCATTTTATATAAAATTTGTAACGTTGGTAAAAAATTATTAGACACTATTTTCATCATGAATTGCAGATGCTCATACATCAGTCTGGATCCTTCCTTTGATTCATTAATTTTCAGCTATGGAAAAAAGTGTTCACATATAAATGCACTCCCAAACTGATTATTCTTATTGCAAAAATTCATAACTGAAGGTATTTACTTTTTTTGGATAAATATAAATAAAAGTTAATCAAATCTGTATCTTCAAATTCTTTAATATGATTTCTATCAAAGTGTAAATTGATCAATGCAATTTGCAAACTTTCTGAAGTGTTACTCATGTTAAATTTTAATAGTAATAAAAAGAATATAAAATTAGAGTTAAATCTTAAACTTTTTTCTCAAAATCTTGTCATAATAATGCTAATCAAATGTTGGTAAATGCATTTAGGGACCACCATTTTGAGACACATTCAGGCATTAGAGCACATTCTGAGTACTTTGTAGATACAGTGCAAAGTCCAAGATCTGGAATTGGTGGGGCTTCGACCATTCCAGACTCAGGAAATTTCTGGATTTTGGATCATCAGTTTAAATCTAGTAAAATGACATGCAGACATGGCAGCATTAGGCTTCCCTTATTGTTTAGGTCACACAGAAAAATGCTAAGCCCTTCACAACCATTCAAGGTGAGGGAAGTGTTATTCAGGCCAAAATCAATATGTCAATCAATTCACTGATGTTGGCCAGAGTCCAGGTTCCTAGCCAGCAGGTGTTTGAAAGAAACATATCTGCAGGAAATCTCATTTAGTGAGGAAAAAAATTGCATTCATGGCACACCTTGAATTAAGACTAATTAGAGGCTCTATGCTTTTAAAAGATTTTTGGACTTTTAAAACACTTTTTTCTCCCATTTCTTCTCTTTTGGTCGCACCATTCTGTGGCAAACCCGGCCCATTTTCTTGATGCCCTAAACACATGCTTATTTTGCTTAATGGTTAACCCTGATCTGTCCAGAGGTCAGGGTATTGGATATCTAGATTTCCAACTGTATTAGGCATGCACTATTACAAAAGCCTTAAAAGACAAACATACTTAATTGCAGTACATGATGAAGTCTTGCAGATAATTATTTCATTATGCACATACGTTCACACATTTAAAAAAAAAAAAAAAAAACACTGAATTTTTTTTTAAATTACTCAACAACTGTATTAGTGTATAAAACCTTTTAGTAATTTTTTTACTGTCTCAATTAAGTTTGTAATAAAATATCTGTATAATAATGAACTATGCTTTTAAATACAAAAACACTAAATAAAATAGGTAAATATGCAGAAAAATTACCTTAATATTTCTGTGGTCATAATAAGACAAAATGCAGTTGGATTGATTTGAACATCTCCAGTTATAAGACCCACATCTTCAAATGATTTCTTGAACTCTCTGAATTTTTGATTTGAAAGAGCTTTGATAGGGGAAGTATATATAACTCTAAAAAAGAGTAATTATAATTAAGTTTAAACTTCAGTTAGTTAATTACATGAGAGTTTTAAATATCATGCTTACATTAAAACAGTTATATAATTGTTAAACAAATGTTTGAAAAAAACTCAAAAAACTTGTTTAATAAAAGTATTACAAGACACAAATATGCAACCTTGTAACATTCTTCTTTGCTAGTGCAACTGCATATTCAGCAACTACAGTTTTTCCTGCAGAAGTATGGGCAGCAACAAATACACTCTCCTTCTTTTCCAAATGTAATATAGCTCTTTTTTGAAAAATATCCAGTTCAAAATTCCACTGTTGTAGAAAGACAAAAAAATATTTAATAAAATACACAATACAAATAACATACATTTGCACATACTAATACTAAAAACCACTATATTTTTAAAATCCTACACAGGAGACTCCTTAATTATGTGGCAGCCAAACTATGATTATCTAACACTATTTAATACTTGATATCATAAAAGTAGCAATAAAATAATTACATAATATTTCCACACAGCTTCAAACTTAAGCAAAAACTGCACATCGCATATAACTTAAAAAAAAGTTGGAATTGCTTTTCCTCCCACTGCTTTGTTGGCAAACTATATTGACTTACTATGTATAGTTCGACCGCCTCAAACACAACCTTGGCTGACATTCTGCTAAAACACTTGGGACTACCTAGGAAGCGATCTAATTATGTGCCATAGGCTGAGGAGGTCAGATAAAATTTTGCTCTTCAACAGAAGGAAGGAATTTACTATCGAAGGAAGGACAATGCCCATGCCATGGGGTGATTCTGTCATCAGTTTTCTTTTGTGCCTTTATTTCACAAATAAACATGAAGATTCACACTGATGTGCAATGCAGGAAACCAAAAATGTTGATTTTTTTGGGGGGGGGAGTAACATGAATATTCCATGAACAGTGCATATTTCATTACTTAGTTTAAAAAATAAGATCCCTAAAAGTAATGAAACTGTACTTTTTAACAGAAATATTCTTTCTTCAGTTAAAAAATGTAAATAAATAAAAGTCAATAGGTATCTACCACATTTTAATGGGGTCTCTACTGATTGTAATTGATTTAATACGTCATTTACCAAAAAGTGATCTTATATGCAAGGATTATAATATTTGTTATTTTTATATATTTTCATTGTTTCTTCTAAAATAAATTTGGTTTCATACATCAAACATAACATCAAAATATAGTTAAGCTATCTATAATAATGCATATGGATTTTAGGACCCAAAATCAAAAAGAAAATATAATAATTATTTATTATAATATAATTATTATAATTAATTAAATAACTATAAAAATTACTTATTATCACATAAAGATAAAAAATATATTATTATAATTAAAATAATAATATAATTATTAATTATGGTATTATAGTAATAATTATTTATTATCGTAAAATTATTATAAACAATTATAATTATATTAAAATTCATAGTAATGAAAATAATATAATAATTAAAATAACAATTATTATACAATAATAGTTATTTATTACATTTTAACATAAAATGTATGTGTAGCAAAATTAAGCTTTGAAAACGCTCATATTTTTACCAATATATAAGTAAATATATAAATGTACACAATGTAATCAAAGAGTTCATTACAAATGATGATTGGTATGTTATCTTAGATATTATTATTTATTTGTAGCTTTCTGCCTCCTTAAATCTGTGTTCTTTGAATGCAATAAAAAAAATCAGAAAAGAAAAAACCCTACTATATGACTCATGCCCTATCCACTTTATATATTTCATCAATAAATCTTTCTGAATGGCACATGCACGTTTGTGCTAATGATTGCAGCTGGCACATTTAAACTGTAAAAAAATTTGCTATGTATTGTTATGTATAACTTGAATTATTTGTTCATAAAGTAAAAAAAGAATGTTTTTAAAATGAAACATTTGTAAGAGTTTCATGAAAATTATTTATATGCACTTGATAAAAATATATTCTATTTATAAAAAAATATGGGTAGATACTATACAATCATTTAGCACATGTTAAATGAAAACTCTCACTTCTTTTATCACTATTTAGGAATATCCTGCTGTGAGGCTATTTCCTAAAATTGCTTCATACATGTCTGATTATGTCAGTTGCCATAATCAGGAAACTCCCTCCCATGACAGACTTCTGTATTTCAAAACTTGCATTTTATATCAGACCCTTAATTCATGGACATCAAGTAGCTGAACATCCAATTTGCATGCATAAACTTTTGTTATATATTTACATTTTATAAAGCATATATTGCAATTACATTTGGAACATATAATTTTAATGTTTTATATATTATATCAACTTTAATGTTTATAACATTATAAAGTACACCTACCCAATACAGTCAAAAGTTTTAATCCGGACATCAAAGCTACAAACTTTCTGCGCATGTGTCAATGCATATTGTGTTAACGCATGCGCATAATACCTTTATGCATGCGCATAATACCTTTATGCATGCGCATAATATGTTTACGCAAGCTAAGCTAAAATTATCTAACTATCTATTTCAGTTAATGTTGCAGATTGCGTTGCTCCTTAATCTTCTAATTGGATCCGGCTTATTATATTTTGCAGACTGTTAGAGCAATTTTATAAAAGTATGCTTGAACTTTCGATTATGTCAAAAAGAATTTACGATTCTGGAACTACCAAAGGATCTACAAAGCGAAAGCCTGTTTCGATGTCCATCAAACAAAAAGTGGAATTGCTGCAAAAAATGGATAAAGGTATATCCTTTGATTCTCTAATCATTCCGAAATATGTTTATCAATTTCACGCTGCTCTGCGGGAGGGGGAACGCGGCACGCAATGAACTGGAAGTTGATCTGTCAGCACTATCCTTATCTTCAGAGCAGATTTTTTTATTTTATTCGGCTTATAATTCCTTACTAAATGTAGTATTTCATCTCGAGGTACTCCATCTTTGATATGATTTAAATCGAATTCCTTGTCATTATAAATATCACAAATACACATCAAATAGTTTTCTGGTTGCAATTTTCTAATTTCGACTATGCGTAATGTATGCTTTACACATGCACATGTTGAAAGAAATGTTTAATAAAGTAAACAAATAAATATAAAACTTTTTCTTTAGTAAATTTTGATACCCCTTAGATCATAATTGCTCTTTATTTCATAAATTATGGTTTCATATTTTTAATTTTATAATTTCTGCATGTCATCTTACCAGATTTAAACTGAGGATCTATAATCCAGAAAAACTGATAATCCGGAATCGCCGAAGTACCGACGAGTCCTGTATATACTTTTGGACTGTATATACTTTTGGAGGGGGCAAAAAGCAGTAGTTTACCGATTAAAATATCTTTAGTGGGCCCATAAATATAAATTGTTACCTAAAGAGAAACTGTTTGCATGGTAAACAGAAATATCATACTTATTTTTTAATTAAATTTCAGTACTTTTTACAATAAATAAAGCATTTGTAGGAAATATAGTATAAAATGTATTTTCAATGATAAAGCTAACAATATGCATAATAGCTACATGTCATACGACTGAACTTACATTATATGCCATATTTGGTATCCTTTCATGAAAATCTTCAACATCACATTTCACATCTTCAATTACTGCCCATTCATATTTTGGTGCAGGTGCTTTTGGTGTGGTCTCGCTTATGTTTAACACTGGTAAAGAGGTCTAGAAAATAAAATGAATAGCATTATGGATTAGTAATATTATTTAAAATTATTATAAATCTGTCAATTCTATATTTTATAAGAGCAGCATAATCCAACTTCCTTCTCTAAATAAGCAAATAGTCATTTTGCTTATTTAGAGTTCACCACCTGAAAGTCTCAAAGCATTTCAATTACTCATTCCTATATCTTTGCCTACACCTAGTTAAGGCAAAAAATTGCACTTATTAAATTTTGAGCTAATATTTTCATTCTATTAATTTATTTTTAGAAAATCAATTAGTTTTGAAAACTCTGTTCACTCAACAAATTTAAATTGGGTATGAGATGATAATACAAAATTCAAATATTTGAACTCTCTTATCCTTTTCCTTTTTATATATAATTACAGTACTGCTAGATGCTATGGGTCTGTACAAATAACTATTAATTATATCAGATGAAAAGAAAGAAACTGAAACTTGACTGAAATAAATAACAGTTCATACAGTAATATACGCTGTGACAAATAGCTGAAAAGAAATAACAGGAGAAAAGAAAATTTCATTCATGTGTGAGGCATATTGCAAATCACTGAAATCACTCACAGAAAAAAGTCTAAAGCAGTAAATACCAAAAAAGACATTTTCTTACAATATAGCTGAAGACTCTAAATTGATTGGCTGATGGCAGCTCATAGTCTTCTATTCATGGGATTTCTTTTTAGGGAATTATTCACCAAGGGGAGGATAAGTACTTTAAGAAAAATCTCTCTTAGTGCTTAAAAAATGAATTTCCTCAAAACTTCCAAAATGTGGCAGCCAAGTTGGCAAGAAATCATCAGATGTCAGAAGACCCATAGTACAGATTCTACCTACACCTCTAGTTCTACTTAAGCTACCTTTATAATTCCAAACTGTTTAGTTCAGAATTTAAAAAATTTAAAACAAAACACAAGAAGTAAACACATATATACATAATAAGTGGCTACAAATTCAATTAAATAAAAATCACTCAGAAAGGTACATTCGGCACAAAAAGGTAATGTTTCATCAAGATAGTGCAAGATCACATGTGTCTGCATGCACTGGCTGGACTCTGTATGAGCTCAAATGGGATCTTCTGCCACACCCACCATACAGCCCTGATATCGCTCCTTCGGACTTCTACCTTTTTTTCCCATCTGCAGCTACATCTTACTAGTGATATCTTCCATTCTGCCCAAGACATCCGAAATGAGGTTGATCTGTTTTTGGACTCATGCCCATCAAGTTTCTGGGCCGAAGGCTTCGAAAAACTACCCAAACATTGGCAGAAAATTATAGATTTGGATGGTGATTACTATCAGCACTAAAGGTATTGCTTTCATGTTATTTATTTTCCTAACTGTTCTAGTTTTTTTGGCAGAAAACATTCATTACAAGCAGATATTTTGATTCAGTTGATCTTTGGTGGATGACTAAACTGCATAAAAACTTAAATACTTCTCATGTACAAAATACCTGTTACCCAAAAAGCTTATGCTATGGTAATAATTATAAATTTATAAAAGCACAAAATGTTATAAAAAGCAACCTTGTTATAGTGATATAAAATAATTTTATTATGAGATAAAAAAATTAATATGCCTCAAAAAACCAAAATTATGCATGTAATAGATATTTGTGTTACAGATATTTTATTCATTTCTGTACAAGGTAGGAAGCCATACAAGCTCATTGCCTTGATTCATTACTCAAAAATATGATGCTGGAAAACAGTAGCCACCCCTCATTTCTAAAACAGCATGTTCTTGCCAAAATTTTTGGTAATAATGGATACAGAACCAGTGGATATTCAATAGATGATAAAAAAGCAATTTGAGGTGCTTGTTCATTGCATCAACAGGTTTATGAATGGTAAATTTAAATATGCACAGAGGGTGTTCACACAGTTTTGTAATGATTTTGATTTTCTCCATGAATTTAAATATTAATTTTTAAATATAAACATGACTGACATGAAACTGGAATAAGGTTTGATTATCATCTGCAGCATTAAACATATTCTTTTCCTTAAAGGCTATATTTTTGCTCTGTCCTAAGAGAAATACATTTATTCAGTTGTTAAAAAATATCTGAAAAGCACGGTTTTAATATTTCTACATGTAAAATAAGTGACATAATAAATATGAAAGAAAAGAAATGCGAGAATTTACATTTGACTAGGAAGAAAGCAAAAAATGCATGCCCAACAAAAGTATGTACAGCTCTTATTAACCCCTTGACTGCCGCGGGCGTATATATATGCCTTGCTCAGCCAATGCATTAACTGCCTTGGGCGTATATATATGCCCTTCCAAACTATTATCATTTGCTTTGCGCTGCTACCCGTAAAATTATTCGCGAAGCTTTGGAATGCAACACCACAATGACCTTGACAAAGTATGCGAAGGAGGATACTATTTCAAAGAAGTGTGGGGAGAAATTGGAGAGAGGGGTGTGTCTAAAGTGGTGAAAGTAATGACTGCACGATATTGGCTGGTGTTGTCTGAGTAAAACTTTTTTTTTTAATTCTGTGTCCTCCATTTTTGTTTACTTTTTGCAGTAGGTTTCAGGAATAAAGAAAGATATAATATGTTTCAAACCCATTTTTCTACTAACCATTTTGTAGACGAGTATATGAATCAACATTTTGCAAACGAAAAATCAAGAACAAAATCATGGCATTCAACCAGTTCAGAAGAAATATATGGTTTTTAGGCATACTGATTTCATAAGGTATAACTCAGAAACCTGATATTACACTTTACTGGTCTAAAAAATTAATTGATTGAAACTCCATTTTAGGGATCTTTTTTATTATAAAAACATCATTTGCATTCATTTTTTTCTTTTATTCTTTATTTTGTGAAAGTAAACAGTTTTTAGGAAGTAAAACTTGCACTTATTTTCCCCCTAATACATCGCATTACCACGCTCAGTGTGAAAAACTGTGGCACTGAGAAATGAATCTTGTACGTTTTCCGCGGCAGTTAAGTGGTTAGGTCTTAAGTCATATCTCATGCTTTACAGGAAAATCCAGCTTCCAAAAGCGCTACTGCAAAATCTTTAAATATCTCTGTACGAACTGTGAATAAAATTATAAAATCTAGTTTAAAGCTAATAATAATAAAAAATAATAATAATAATAATAATAAACATGATATTCCTTGCCTAATGCCGAAACACGTTTCTCGGAGTAAGAAGAATATGTGCAGATTTTAGTATGAATATTATTTAGGTGAAAAAATTTAATCAAGCTGATGAAAACAATATGATATTAGTTGTTTTATCATATTCATATAGTAAAACAATGCAAACCAATACTTAGTCAAGGCCATGTGTTTAGATTCCTATCTCATGAGATTTGTTGATTCTTGTATAAAATTACTGTGATGCATTTGGAATCCAAAGCAAATGACTGTAGGAATTAAGCACAATTGTGTTAAAGAGCTGATGCACACATGCTTATCCTGTCAAACACATAATTATTTTTCTCAAAGAACCAAAGCTTTAATGAGGTGATGGCATATAATCATCTAATGCAACAGGCCTACATTGAGAAATAATAAAGAGTTTTTCGGTACTTACATATTAACACTACCACCCTGGTACAATTTGGAAATTTTTACAGATGAAAAGATACAAGTTACTTTTCGTGTGCAAGTTGTGGTTTTTGTGATTTTTTTAAAAAAATATTCCTAAACTATCGATATTTATTGTAAGTTGACAAACATCATCAACATATGAAAAGAAAATATACTTAACTACATTTAAAATACAAATTTTAATTATTAAATAAGCAATATGTGTTACATTAAAAAATAAAACACATTTTTCTTCAAATCTTTCTGTAATTTTTTTGTCCTATTCTTTCTCTCCAAGTACACAAAGGATCTTTTTACACTTAAAAAAAAATCACAGAATTTCAGAGATGCAATCTGTGATACCAGAGTTTGCATTGCACAAACTCCAGTAACATTGGTTGTCTACCAAATGTATCTCCTCGTTGCCCTCTTTACAGATTTTGCACGAAAATTCCATTGCTCCTGAAGAATTTTACCACAATTTCTTCTATTACAGGCAAATTTCTTAAAAATTAAGTTTAAGATATCAAATATCACGATTTGTTTATAAAAGCTTTTGGAATACAAGAAAAAGAAGTCATGCGAAAATGGCAACGTTGCTTGACTGAAGGATTATTATGAGCATGATTGCCCAAAGAACAGTTACGTGAAGCACCCAGTTTTTAAATTCTGTTAATTGACTTTTTGTAATACGTTGTATAATATAATTATATATTATATATATATATATATACATACATACAGTTTCTTTTATATTCCTTCTCACAGTTTAAAAATAAAATTACCTCAAATTTAAGAAAATTCATCATTTTGAAAAATGCATCCTTCAAAAAATGCAGGTTGAAAACTATTGGGTTAGTCCATAAATTCATGCGCATTTTTTGGTAAATTTTTAAATAACACAAAAAACACACAATTTAACATTTTAATCAATTATATATTTTCCTCCATTATCTACAATGTCTCGCCATCTTACAGGCAGCTTTTTTATGCCACTGCTGTAGAAAAGCTCTGGTTTTGATGCAAAAAAACTTGAAGGTTCATTGTGTATATCCTGTTTAGAATTTAATTTTTTTTTTTTCCAGTAAAAAATTTTGGAAGGCACGAAATAAGTGAAAGCAGGATGTGGCGAAAGCTCCCAATTAACTTCACTAATTTTTTGTGGCATTGTTTGAGCCGTATGCGGTCTAGTGTTATCCCGATGAAACAACACTTTCTTGATATTCACCAATCATGAGAGTTTTTTGATCAATTCTGAATTTAGATGACAAAGTTCTTCACTATAAACTTCTGAATTAATCGTTTGATTTGGTTCTAACAGTTCAAAACATCCTGAACAGGGTTCATGATCCATGCTGCTTTTTCCAATTAAAATTTTTTAAACCACTTCTGGGCAGTCCTTACACTAATAGTGTGTTCACCATGTACTCTACTAATTTTTATCGCTGCAGACCTGGCAAATTCACCGAACAAAAATAAAAAATGTAGCACAGCCCGTTTGTACTGATTATCTATATTCATCTTCTATGGATACTAAAATGCATTCGATATTTACGAAAGTTAGTGATGATCTGAATAATATGTTAGTCAAACAATGACAAGTTTCAAGAGGTCCAAAATTGTATTGTTTTAGTAAATGCATCATAGTGAATTCCACGCATACTCTTAATGCGCACGAGCTTATGGACTGACCTGTTACATTAGTTAGAACAGGAATATTTAAACACAATCTTAATTTTTATCAAATATCTTTTATATCAGGCCTCTTTATAATGTATAAAAATACTCTGACCAAACTTATAAGAGGTCATAACACAAGTCCTTGATTCACAAAGCATACATTATAATGAGTCATCAATTAATTAGTTACTTTTGTGAGCATATATTAATTATATAAAGGGAATTATGAAAATGCCCTGTACATATAGCATGCAAGATATGTAATATATCTTGCCTTTATGGCAAAATTTGTGTGTGTCTTGCCATAAATAACATTAACATTTCTTGCCTTTATGGCAAGAAATGTTATTTGAATAGCCTTTATGGCTATTCAAGTAACATTTATAGGAAAATAAAGACATAAAAAATATATTCATTACACTTACCAATTTTAAAACATCATCTTGGGTACCAATTGGTTCAGGTTGTTTTTCTGTTTCATCCTTGAATAATTTTTTTTTTTTTTTTTTTAAATATTACATTACAAACAGACTTATGATCAAAACTATCTATACAGATGAGAAGGTATAATAGCTAAACAATAAAACTAAACTATACTAACTAATATAATAACTAAACAATAAAGCTCTGCTATTAATATCAAAGAAGCTTAGACGGGTGGGAAAGTAGACAGGCAAGTTCACAACGATCACTACAAAGCAAAAAATGCAAAATCAGAAGAAAATATGAATTTATGACTTTCAAAATGGTGAAGTGACCAGGCACTATTGCTATTAAAAATTCTCTTTCAAAATGTTTGCGATGCTTCTAGAAAAATGCTCCCCATTTGTCTGGAAATGATGTCATAATGAAATGGAAATATAAAGGAATTATGTTTGTGCAAGCCTGGCTGATCACACCATATGCCGGTGTTGAAAAAGTCTATGATAGAGAATTAAACATATAAGCAAAAAATATTTGTATGAAATTAGCACATTGACAATTTACCAAGAACTCCTTATTTTTAAGTTTACACCACTGAACACCTGTATATAAATTTAGCATAAATAACATTAATGTCAGGTGTTGTTTAGGGTGGTTTAAAAGTTAACGGTTTTGTAACCTACAGCAACAATGATAAATTTTCCTATATGGTATGGAAATTTGATGTCTATATGTAGGTGTGCATAATGTTAGATGAATTGCATTTACTCAATAACATTGTGCTTAAAGTGATGTTTTTGCAGTGGTAGCATAATAGTTTGGATTTTTTTTATATGGTCTGAAATTTGGCCCCTGGTTCTATCAAAGAAAATTATAAATATAGATGTTTATTTTAATATTTTACACAATTCCAAACTATATATATTGCAGCAGGTTTGTTGTAGACCCCTTCATATTTTAAAGCATTTACAATCCTGCCTTATAAGGACATGGCATACAGAACTATTTTGCTGACGTATATGGTGAAGAACTGAATCTGCCTGAGTACAACAAGACTTCATTTCTCACACACAATACTAATCACCCCTCGCAGGTGCAGATATGACAATTACTTTTATGCAATAATGTTCACTTCCAAAAGCAACATTTAAAAAAACTAGAAGATAATTTTCTTGATAGAATGACAGTTGTTAATGAAATAAAAATTGGATCCAAACCGTATTAATTTTTTATGTCAAAGTGTTTGAATACTTTTGATCACATAATATGTTTATATTATTATTTATTACAAATATAACATATATTATATATTTCTGGTCATCTCACATAAAAAAACTACAGTTTGACAAATAAATTTAAACATTCAGAGCATTTAGCAAAAATAGTTGTAAAAGAATACAGTGGAACCTTGAGATACGAGTACCTCTATACGCAAGAAATTCGAGATATGAGGAAAGTATGAGCAATAAAATTGTCTCTAAACACGAGCATTGACTCGAGTAACAAGCAACCAGCCAGGATGTTGGTATACGTGGCGCGTTTCCCTATCCCGCTCAACTCGGGGAATTCCCTCGTCAGATCACTCACTGTTCTTTGATCTACATGTTTGTGCACTTGTGAGTTGTTTTTTTTTTACATTTAATGTGAAAATAATTATTTCACGTGGCCTCGCAAGAAGATGTTGTCTCTGATAGTGCTGCAAAGGAAAAGAAGGAAGCCTTGGCCATTGAAATTAAGAAAGACATCACAAATAAACATAAGCATGGTCTAAGAGTAACAGAATTGGCAAAGACTTGCGGCCGTTCGACATTGATGAAGACTGTTCTGAAGAAGAAAGAAATTAAGAAACTTGATGAGCCAAAGGAGTTATTGTTATTTTCAAGCACCCTTCAAAACTCTTAGAAGATATTAAGATGTTGTTGTTGTTGTGGATTAACAAGAAGCAGTTAAAAGGCGATTCATTGTTGGAAGCTATCATTTGCGCTAAGGCTAAGAATTTGTACCTGGACCTTCTCCAAAAAACAGCAGGTGCATCGACTGAAGATGAGATGGCATTTAAGGCAAGCTGTAGATGGTTTGAAAAATTTAAAAAGAGAATCGGTATTCTCTCTTCATCTTCCCCACATCCCTATCACCAGTCAGGAAAGTATGAAAAATAAAATTATCTCTAAACATGAGCATTGACTCGAGTAACAAGCAACCAGTCAGGATGTTGGTATACGTGGTGCGTTTCCCTATCCCGCTCAACTCTGGGAATTCCCTTGTCAGATCACTCACTGTTCTTTGATCTACATAAAGGTAAACTACAGTTATATTATCTACCAGCGTTATTTATTTGGAAAATTATTTTTATGTTGATATTTTGGGGGTGCAGAATAAATTAACTGGATTTCCATTATTTTCAATGGGGAAGTTTGTTTCTAGATATGAGAAATTTGCTGTACGAGTTCAGTGCTGGAAGAAATTAAACTCGTATCTCGAGGTTTCACTGTACCAAATTTAATAATGCATTCACGATACAACTCACACTAGAAACTGAAATTTGAAAAATACAATATTTCTTTCACTTCTTCAGTAAAATTAAATTTTATGTTTTTACATTTCCATTACAAAGACACATTTTCTTTCTACTTTAATAAACTAAAAAATAATACTGATTTTAATCTGGCTCAAACATCTTACCTAGATAAGATCAAATTATCATGACATAATACATTGAAACTACTGAAAAACAAAATTCGCATTTAATTAAATCAAATTGTAACTTATGGAATAAAACTATGCTACATATAGTATAAAGACCCAAATTCAAATCTCCAATATCTGGACCTTTGGACAACCGGGGGAGGGGGGAGAGAGTCTAAGGAGAGAGAATATAATACTAAAAAAAAAAAAAAGATGTGCATAAAAATCAGCTTTTCTCTCAGCTAACTCAGATTCTTGTATATCACTTTCAAGCATCAGCTAGCTAGAGAATTATACTATGACCAGTGACAATACATTAGAACTAGGCAGTTATTAACATTGACTAATGTTGACTAATGACATTGACTAATGTTAACTGCAATCACGCTTTTCGCTCTTGAGCGATTGCGGAAGAGGGTTAACATTTCTCCATCTGGACGCAAACAATAAGCGAAGATTCAAGACATATTTGTTTGGAGTGGAATATTGCTCCTACTTTTTTGTTGGCATAGCAGCAAGGAAGAAGGAAAGAAATAGATTTTAAAGATTTTAACTCCAGTTAACATAGCAAATACTGCACTCTTCCTTAACTTTCTAATTTGAGTTGGCACATTTCAGACTTAAGAAAGTGTGATTTGAAAAATAAGCAAATTATAACCTTATTTTGACACAGATTTTGAATGCTAGAGAAAGCAAAATTTTCCACTAAATGGAATTTGTGATGAAATGTAGAGAAGTGATAAATGAAAATGACATAACAGAGTGATGACAATACCGCATCAAGTAATGGATGGCGAAATCTGTAACATGGTTTAAATAGAAAATATTGCTACAGATAGTGAAGAAAGTGACAAACAGGTTTTTCGATATTTCGATTCACAGTTTATTTGGAATTATCAACATGGCAATTAGAAGACTCAAACAACAGAATTTTAGGTACTTTTCCGTTTTGCCAGTGCAAACGATAAAGTCGCCAATAATGGTACAACTGATGCCGAAACAGAACATCTTCACTGGTAACCTTTTATGCCTCATTTTCAAAACAAGTTGCAGCCATTTCTTATCAGATTGATTGTTTCTTTCAATACTGGCATACAATTACATAGAATTTTTAAAAAATAGTTAAATTTTATGCTCTAAGACAATTTGCGGTAATTAAGTCAATTAGAATGCAATCACACCGCTTACCCGAAAATATAGGAAAGGCAAAATCAAGTGTTAAATTCATCAATTCTAATGAGAATGCACTAGCAAAGTAAAGCATCGTGGTTTTAACTTCTGAGTAAGCTTTGAAATAATTCTTGCATTTAAACTTGTATTCCAAATTAAGATTTAACTTGAAATTAATGTAGATAATTAATGAGCAAATTAGATTTTTGTAGTTTACGTAGGATGAGATGACTTGGGGTCATGTGATACGAACCACCAAATCAGGATGTTGAACCTTTAAAGCATAGTAAATTCTTAATGTCTTTTTACAAATTTATTGTCTTTATTTATTGGCTTTTTACAAAATTTTAAACCATATTAAAATGTTTATGCCTTCAAAATAAAAACTTCTTAGCATTAATATTTGTTAACATTTTTTATGTGTATACTGTATGTTGTCGCCAACAAAGTCTGCTTCGCAAAATTTGCTCCAGCGAAACGGAAAAGTACTGAATTTTATAACTAAACAAGAAATTTTGACTATCTATAAAATTAAAGAGAAAATAATACCACAAATAATGAAACAGTTTAAATAACTCACTTTAAAAGAAATATTTATTAAAAAACAAATAAATATTGAACTTTTTTTTGCAAATTTTGATTTTCTTAAAATTATAGATGCATCATAATTTTGTACAGAACTGTTTCATATTTTTAATTTTACAAGTTCTGTTTTTCCTCTCACTAGATTGAAACTGATGATTTTAAAATCCAGAAAATTCTAAATACTGATGATTCCAGATCTCACACTTTTCTACTGTATATATCAAATCAAAATTAATTCTGTTTCATTTTGTAATACATGATAACATTTGTTGTGAATTTCTAGTGCTTTATAAACAGTAGCTTTCTTATTTTATTCAGGATATTTAACAAGTGACATAATGGAAATATTCACATTTCCTAAAAAAGCCTCACTATGTACCAGTTTTATACCTATCCTATGTGTAATACTATGTAAGCTAGTTCTGTAACAAAGTCGTTTTTCAGTGGAGACAGCTTATGAAGGCTTTGGTATAATTAGCCAACCAGCTAATAAATTACAAAGTGGTTTGTAGTATATTAATGTTATAGTACCTGTTATAAAAATAATGAATGAAAAATTGTAAAAATGTCCTGTAGACTAATTGGAATGTCCTACAGATTAAAAAATGTCCTTGCAAATTTTATCAACAGGCAAAAAATAAAGATATTTTTCTTAAAAATCAAATTATTATGATTTTATATAAATGCCACACATCTTTTTTACACAGAAAAACATTTACTGAACAAAATGCAATATATTTGTAAATGGAAAAGCAAAAGCAGAAGCATTTATTTCCGAATCAAATAAATAACATTAATTTTAAGAAAATATTTAAAATAAATGTACATAGCTTAAAATAATGTAAATATAATTCAAAATGTAGTTTAAAATGAAGTGTGTTTATGATCTATGACTATACAGAAATATAAAGAAAGCAATTACTTTTTCTAAATTCACTTCTTCTTTTGTTTCTTCTATTTCATTCAAAATTTCTAAATCAAGAGTATCATCCATTGATAAAACTTCAGACAAATAAATTTTCTGAGGTTGTGCACGCATATAATCCATTTCATCCTGAGATTTTCTTTCAAATTTCATTCCACATTTAAAACCAGGAGGAGTATCAAGTAAATCTGCTCAAGAATAATGTTAAAACAATAAAATATAAGAAATAAAATAGACATGTTTTGCAGTTTATATTATTTTGCCCACTTGAAGGCAATATAGCATCCTACACAAATTAGTATTTCCTTGTTAAAGCAGCCACTTAATTTCCAAAGATCCTTAATCACTCAATATGTTAATTTCAAATGTCATCAAAGATGACTGCTTTAACAGGAAAGTACCAACAGATTAAATTATAGTAGAAATACTGTTTTTATGTACTTTGATAATCTTTTTCTAAAACTGAATACTAGAATTTTTAAAAACTTACACTTTTTTTAAATTTACAATAGTTATTATTATCATTAAGTGAAACATTTTCTTTCATATTAGCAAGTTGAAATATTTCAAAATAAAAGTGTTGTTATGAAAGTTTTGGTTTTTTAGTCCAAAGGGGCTTTGTCCCTGAAAGACTACTGTTTTCTTTTTATGATTTTGCATTGGTTCACTATAAATGTCTGTTTCACTTTTCAAACTGTTGCCACTAAATGTTAGAGTCCTGCATTATATTTGAAGGAATTAAATAATGAAAAATGTATATTTCTCGCACTGTGATAAAACAACGGTACATAGAGCCATTGAATGCCAATTTTGAATGCCATTGAGCCAATTTTGAATGACGTAATCTCCTCCTACGAATATGGGCATGTGGTAGCCTAAACTTGAAATTTGTTTTATTATCGATTTCATATTTCGTAAAACTTTAATGAATTTTTTATTAACAAACTCAGGGATTTTAAAGTGAGCAATGGCAACGTTGTACAGAAAAAAACATTTTTATCTCCAGCGTGCGCGTTTCTGTATCGAAATTCTAAAGATAGGCTCATTTTAAAAGTATTTTGCAATATTGCTGTTGAAATGAATTTTATGGTTTAAGTATGAAGAACATGATATTTAATAAATAAATGTAACAACAAATTGTTAAAAAAAGCGCCCCTTTGGACGTAATTTAAAATCTGATACCTTTTATATTTTTTTTATTTCTTATTTTTGTAGGTGTCTTAAGTCCTTTTGTTTAAGATGAATGTCTAGGAACCTAGTGAACTATGTCACAACTTATTGCTAAGTTCAGAACACTATGACGTAGACTTGAGCCCTTCGAGCCGGGTAGCACAAACGCACGCTTATTGCGGAGGCCAGCAGTGTCTTATGCGAGCGTCTGTCCAAACTCCGGGGGCTTTTTTGCTACTAAGCCTAAATCCATGAAATTTCCGAAGTATCAACGCATTGTTTAATAATGCTCTATAGAGTATTTAAATGGCTTATGCTTTATAGATATTTTTATACTATATACTTTAATTACCTTATTTCTTGTTTAAATGCATATTTTACACATTTTATTTTCATTACTCACCATTTTATAACTTTTAACATCATACATCTGAAGACTAAATATATTACTTAAAATTCTCTTTTCGTATGAAAAATTTGAAAACAGGGATCTACACACAGTCCTACGTTAGATTCCTTGCACTCATAATAACTCATTTGCCGTTTTGGAGGATTTTTCCGGGAATGTGAACAAACAATGCATCGTAGTCTCATTTTCTTATCAGTCTCTTCTGAACAAAGTTTCGGAAAATGTCTTTCAGTTAATCTTTCAGAATCAATATCAGAATATCAGAATTTCAGAATCAATATCAGAATATCAGAATTTCAGAATCAATATCTGAAATAGTTTGCATCATTTCTAGTATTTCATGCTCTGTTAAACATTTTCGACGCTTCGACATTGCAACGGTAAAAACAGAAAGAATTCACGTCTAACAAGATCTAATTATTTTCTAAAAACTAAACTGCAAACCGAAATACCCAATGCTTTAGAGCAAATAAAACTTCTCTACTTAAATAAACAACTATCACGTGCGAATAAAGTGCAATTTAAAGAGACGTCATAAATTATGCCATTCGGAAACATTTATTTCCCCTTTTGTTTATATAATCAAAACACATGTATGTGAGTCATGCTTCTCTCATTTCGAGTAGAAGATCTAATGTACATGTATCCGAAACCATATGGACATACAGTGCCATCTTGTGGCAGAAATTATAGTTTTTAAAATGTTCCAGGACACTGGCACAAATACGTGACAGTCGGTAGTGAACGGGAAAATGCTCTAGCACGCCTGCATGTCGGCCGGGAAGTGAGCGTGTTCGTTGTTGGCACGTAGGTGTGACAGTCGGCGCGAAGGGGTTAAATTACTTTTTTATTCACTCGAATAAGAATAACAGTCGGCCGCTTCTCGGGCATACAGGAAGCCTCTATTCGGGCTTTAACTCAGAATAGGAAACAAAACTATAATTAACTAAATGAGACTTAGCCGAAGCTAGACAACATAGTTACCCTTAAATTAAACTAGCCAGCGAATATCAATAGCTATGTAATATAAGACCGAGCTTAACAGCTTGAAGAGTGCCAGAAGGCGCTACTAAGGACTCCTAGCACTCTCTATGAAAGTAAATTGAACCTTCCTTATATACTGCTTCTAACTCATTTGCATTCACCCCGATTCTAAAAACACATTCTGGTAGAGAGTTGTAAGTGGAAACAAAAATTGATAGGAAAGGGTTTCAAAATTAAAATAACTGTTATAAAATTAAAACATACCTTACAGTTTAATCAGGAATATTAATTTTATCAAAATATTTTCATACACACTATCATATATTAATTCACAATATTATGTTATTTTAAATATAGCTCACCTCCCTCAAATAAAGATTTATTAAGGCTTTCTTTTTTCAAGAGATCTGCCCAAGGCTCATCCATGCCACCAGGCCAGAAAGGAAAGCTGCTAGTACTACCCTTCACACCAGCTTCAGGGGGACCAGGAGCACGAGATAAAGATGTGGATGTCTTATGAGTACCCTCAAAAATATCTTTTTCTTCCTGAAATTAATACATATTAGATAATGAAAGATAATATTTAAGATTCTGTAAATGTAACTGAAAATTATGGTATTGAAAATATTTTTTTTAATTCATCTATTCACTTATTAACAAAATTTAACAGTATTATAACATGTATTAAGCAATCATATATTCTTTATGCCAACATTTCACTATCTTTTGTCAGCATAATGAATTTGCTGTACATTCATATTGAAGGTAATTTCAGACCTATTTAAATTCAGTGAATGTCTTTCAAAAGCAAAACTGATACTTGTATTATTTTTTATCTTTAAATTAGCTATTTTAGCATAACCCTCTTGTTTATAGTCAAAATATTCTTTAAATATAAAACTTTAAAAGTTTAACATGATAAAAGTTAATCTACTGTAGGAACCATATATACATTGCTTCTTTGATGTAAAATACAGAAGCATGGTACATAATTGTTTAGTTGAATATTTAATACTGTAGGTGCATATGCACTGTAGGTAATTGTTTTGTTAAAACCTAATTGCATAAACAAAAGTCCCCAGCTGAAGAATTAATGAGATTCAAGAGTATGAGCTTTAGCAGTATACCATAATTCAAAGAGAATGATATAAAACCAAAGCATACATAGAACTGCTGTTATGATTTTATTGTAAAAATACAGACGTAACATAAAAGTGTAATTTTTCAATTTTCCATTTGGTAACACTGAAAGTTTTAACATTTTTGAAATGCTGACTAGTGTATATATCAGTGCCTTTTCTTAAAAAATATACATACAAAGCTAGCATCAGTGAAAGAAAATGTACACTGCATGCTAGAAAAATGCAAAAATTGTATCAATAATTAACATTCAGAAATATTTCTAGCCAAAATTTGCTAAAGAAGTACCTTACTGTTGCAACATCCCAAGGTAGCTAACATAGTTTGAAGAAACAGGTTGGTTATGCAAAGGAAAAAGCACAACAAGCCATCAACCAACAATGAAATAATGGAAACTTTTACGAGACTTACTCACCAGGTCCCAGCAAATCAATGCATCTTGTTCACAGATAACTTACATGCTATACACAAGAGTATGTTATAATTACATTAAGTGTTTGCATTTCAAACCTTACAAATTCTGTGCAAATAATAAAAATTGCAATAAACCAAATCAGAGAGAGTTATGCATAAATTTGCAAACACAACTGAAGATGGATGACTTCATGGACTTGTATTCACTGAAAAAGCCACATTTTACTCACATGGCAAAATGAATTGGCATAATTTCAGATCTGAGAGCATGGAAAATCCACATGCCACACTAGGAAATGAACATAATGTTCTGAAGAAAAATAAATTTTTGCACCATAACCAACTGCAATGTGCTTAGGCTCTTCATCTTCACAAAATCCCTGTCTACCTGGGACTTCCAAGCAAGCAGCTGCTACTTCAACTGCAAATTAAGGCAACCAGTTTCATTTTAAAACAAGAGTATGAACTACTACTCTCTCCATCACTGTACAATTCTGTTTTATGGTCTAATAGATCCCAGAGGTCTTTCACAATGACTAATTTATTAGTCCAAAGGGGCAATTTGCGCAGAAGGACTATTAATTTCATTTTGGCATTTTGCATCAATTCACTATAAATGTTGATTCACTTTTCAAATTGTTGTCACAAAATCAGAGCCCTGTATTATATTTAAAGTAATTAAATAATGGAGAATCTACATAAATTTCTGTATGTTTCTTGCACTGTGATAAATCAACGGTACATAGAGCCATCAAATTTTGAATAACGCATGTTTCCACCCAAATATGGGGATCTGGGAGCCCAAATTTGGAATTTGTTTTATTATCTATTTCATATTTTGTAAAACTTAAATGAATTTTTTATTAACAAACTCAACGATTTCAAAGCAAGCAATGGCAACACTGTATGGAAAAAAAAAAAAAAAAAAAAAATTATTTTTATCTCCAGTGTGCAAGACTGTGTATCAGAAATTCTAAAGATATTGTCATTTAAAAATTATTTTGCGATATTACTGTTGAAGTTAATTTAATGGTTTAAGTGCAAAGAACATGGTATTTAATAAATAAAGGTAACACTCAAAATGTTAGAAAAAACCACCCCTTTGGGGATAATGTAAAATCTGAAAAGGTTTTCAGATTTTTTTCCTTTTTAATTTTTTATCCCCTCCCCAATGGTGGGCACTTGCCTATAAGGATATTGGCCACTATTAAAGCCAAAAGTGGTGGCTATTTTATTGTGGAGGCACCTAATAAGCAGTGACCATTACCTCCTATGAAGGGATAGACAATTTTACATCCATGCCTTCTCCAGGATTCGAACCTGGTCCTTCGGTATCGCAGTCAGGCTCCCTTAACCACTATATTGTCTGGGTGGCATGACTAATTTATAGTGGAAAGCTAAACATGCAAACTAAGCAAATTTCTATGAACAGATTTTCCAAAATTTTCCTCTTAATAACTTCCCAAATTTCAGCTTATCATATGATATACAAACAGAATTTGCTACTTAACGCTTACATACTTTTGATCATATAAATGCATGTTAAACAAAATTAGAATTTAAAACCAAATTTAATTAAAATTTAGTGAAGTGATTGTTGAAATGTCTTTTTTTCTCTTGAACTTACAAGGGAAGCAAATTTAATAGATTTCTTAAAGTAATGTCAAATCTACACGTATCAATAAACTCCTAATTAAAAAAACATGTTTAAAATTCCTGATTTCATGGAAACCAAATAAATGGAAACTGATTTGAAGGAAAAGTTTGTTACATGTCAAATTTAAGATATATGATATTAAGATACGTAGGGGAGTCAATTGAAAACCATAAAAGTAGAAATAAAAATCCGCATATGGAGCCAGTGAGCTGTAAGTTGGCATGCCTGTTTGCGATAGTATGCCGGATGTCTCCTAGGTGGCAGCAGCCGGCAGATGCACAAACACCGGCGCAACAACAGTTCCAAAATGGCAGCCCCACTAGCCACATGCACCAGCGAGGAGCAGTGTTCTGTGATTCGGTTTTTGCGAAGTGAAGGTGTGAAACCAATTAACATTTTTAGGCGAATGAAGGTTCAGTATGGAGATGCGTGTTTGTCACAGTCACAAATCTATGAATGGTGCCAGAAATTTGCAAATGATGTTACATCCATGGCCGATGCTCCACGCCCCAGCCAGGCTCGGCGCGTAGTGACTCCAGAGACCATTTCAGCCGTTGAAGCCATCGTTTTGGAAAACCGACGTGTGACAATAGACAAAATTGCAGCATGTGTAAACATGAGTCATGGATCGGCACATCATATTGTTCATGATGTTTTCCAGTTTCATAAGGTGTCTGCAAGATGGGTGCCCCGACAACTGATGCCTGAACTGAAACAGCGACGTGTTGATGCTTGTGAAGACCTTTTGTGGCGTGCTGAACGTGATGGTAATGCCTATGTTGAAAAGTGATTTACTTCTGTACCCTGTGTGACCAATAAATAATATTAAAAAAAATAATTATGGTTTTCATTTGACTCCCTCTCGTATATAATTTAAAATATATGAACCTGCTAGCAAATAAGCAGCTAACATAAACATAAAAATTACATAACATAAAAATTACAGAAACTAACTCAAGCAAGAGTATAATCAGTGCCTTAAATTTTTTTTATACCAATGACAACAGATGAAAATGTTTAAAAGCACAATCCATTGTCATAAAACATATTTTTTCATAAAGAGAAACACAAAATTAAAATGATAGCAGAAATTTACTCACTTCACAGAAGCCTAATAATTTCCCACTTATCATATTCCTTTTCACACTTAGATGTGTTTGTAGAGGACACAAATTAATAGAGTATAAGGATGAAATATTAGGTTCAATAGGTACTAACCTAAATTGTTAGAAATCTTAATTACATTTCAGCATTTTCAAAGCATTTGTAGTATCACATTTTCAAAAGCAGATAACTTAATTTAGCAAAATAATTTTAAAAACTTTGGACAGGTGATAAAAAAGTGCTTTCATTCTGGAAAAAACATATTTCAAACATTTCTCAATTACAGCATCAGATTAAATGGTCAAATAAATCTTTTACGTCATTCAAATGTCCATTTGCATGGAATATCATTTATTACCATTGAAAGCATTGATGTTTCAGTGTCAAAATTTTTACAGATGGCTACCAAGTGTTTCTTTAGCACTTACATATATTAAAGTTGCATTTTTATTTTAACCCCTCAACTGCCGCGGAAAAGGTACAAGATTCATTTCCCAGTGCCACGGTTTTTCACACAGGCGCGCGTAATTATGCGATGTATCAGGGGAAAATAATGGCAAGTTTTACTTTCTAAAAACTGTTTACTTTCACAAAATAAAGAATAAAAGAAAAAAAAGAACACACAAAATTTAATGTTTTGAGTAAAAGTATAATAAAAAGATGTAAGTATAATAAAATGATGCTTTTATAATAAAAAAGATCCCTAAAATAGAGTTTCGATCAAGTCATTTTTAGACCAGTAAAGTGTAATATCAGGCTTCAATGTTATTCCTTGTGAAATCACTATGCCTAAGAAACATATATTTCTTCCGAACTGGCTGAATGCCACGATTTTGTTCTTGGTTTTTTGTTTGCAAGGTGTTGGTTCATATACTCATCTACAAAACTGTTAGTTTCAGTAACAATATAAAGCATGAGCAGTTCATCAAAAAATAATTCAAAAAAGATAAATGGGTTTGAAACATCCGTTATATCTTTCTTTATTATGCTGCAACCTGCTACAAAAAGTAAACGAAAACGGAGGACACAGAATAAAAAAAAAATACATTTTACACAAATAACACCAGCCAATACCGCGCAGTCATTATTTTCACCTCTTTAGACACAGCCCTCTCTCCAATTTCTTGTCCGAAAAAGTATCCTCCTTCGCATACTTTGTCAAGGTCATTGTGGTATTGCATTTAAAAAGCTTTGCGAATAATTTTACGGGTAGCAGCACAAAGCAAATGATAGTATTTTGGAAGGACGTATATATACGCCTGGGGCAGTTAACGCATCGGCTGAGCAAAGCGTATATATACGCACGCGGCAGTTAAGGTGTTAATGACTAGTTTATAAAACAAAGACAAGATAAAGGAAACTTACATCTTTTTCAGTCTTTGCACTAAAAACTTGTAATAATTTTCTGACTGCTTACACAGAATCATTTACATTATATTATAATTCCTCAGACATAATTAATTCCTCTTATTAGGACTTTTTCCACTGTATATTACACCAAAATTAAAAATGCATAAACCTGACTGGATTTATTAAATTCAGAATGGCTGTTAAAGCTGCTAAGATAGTACTGTAACAGACATTTCTATAGCCCTTGTTTTCTTCAGAAATTTTCTTCACTAGTTTAATAACTACTCTCAAGCTACTGCTCTATGGATTTCAGGGATTCAAATAAAAGTTGATGTCTTAGGACACATATTACAAAACAAAAAGAGATAGTATTGTAATAGTATATCTTGCCATTAATTAGACTATGCAGGTTTAGTTATATGCAGATTAGTTTTCACTCTCTGAATGGCATCGTATTTTCGATCTGTTCATGAAGATTTGTATTTAAACAGCATTTATTAAGCTAATTTATAGAATTGCTTATTTAATCTCTCTTTTCATGAACAACCATTTACTAAGATGATATTTACATCATTAAGGAAAGTAAAACATTTTAAATTATAAGCTAATATATACTAAGCGACAAAAAACATCTCCTGACCTATCAAAGCCAGTCATACCACTCAAGGGGGTTAATAAATACATAAAAACATTTTTTGAGATTTACAGTAGTTTTAAAAACTAGCAGCATAAATCAGGAAGCTTATAAATACCAAATAATTTTGAAAACTTGGATATATCAGACATACACACAATGTGTATACATAATAGTATATTTCATTATTTCCCCCATATTAAGCAAAACCACTTAAAAATTTAAACTTTGACAATAGATAACCACTACCATTAATTGAAAACATTCTAGATGGGTTACAAGAATCACATACAGTATTTAGTTCCATTATCTTAAAAACGTTTTTTTCTATGTTGAACAGCAAAAGTAGGAAGAATATTTTATTTGTAACATATGAAGGGCAATATCAATTTCTCGAATTTCCTCTTGGACTATGCAATTCTCTGATGGTATTTTAGAGGTACATTAGCATTATTTTTTTACCTTTTATTAATGATTATTGCTTTGCCATGTATGAAGGATGTAATAATCTTCTGTTCCTCCCTTGATGAAGGAGTTAAATGGCTTGAAAGAGTCTTAAAACTTACTAGTGAATATGAATGAGATTAATTTTAAAAAATCTTATTTTTTGAAGAAATAAATCGAATTCCTTGGTTATGTTATCAAAGTAGGTAAAATGTTTCCATCTACATTGAAAACAAAAGCAGTTCTTAATTTCCTGGAACGGACTAATTTAAAACTAATTCATAGTTTTTGTTGGACTTGGCAGATATTCCAGAAAGTTTATTCTAAAATATTCCATTATTGCTAAGCTCTAGAGTGATGATCATTAGTGAAAAAAGACCACAATTTTAAATTTGATGAGGAGGAAACAAATTCTTTCAGCTGAATTAAGTCATTGCTAGTTGAAAAATATGTCTAAGGAATCTATAATTGCAATTATGAAACTGAACTGAATACTGAAATTGCATACCGATGCTAGGTTAGAAAGAAACGGAGCAATTATGATGAAGAGGTTCCCAAACAATAATAGTTTTCACCACGCCTACCTCATTAGTAAGAAGATCATTGATGCTGAAAAGAAGTATTCTGGTTAAGAACTTGAAGCTCTTGCAATCATAGAAGCATTAAAGAAGTTCTGTATATACCCACTGTGAATTCCTTTTAAAACTGTTATAGAATGTTTCACATTCGAAGAAACTATGTCAAAATGTGACTTATCAACTCGTGTTACTCATTGGGCTTTATTGCTACAGGAATTTAATTATGTGATTGAGCATTGGTACAGTAATAGGATGGCTCATATGTTGATACCTTAAGTGGATCTCCCATAACATTGTTTGTCTTTCAGTTTATAATATTTTACCAAAGTTGATATCAACCTATTATAAGAATAATGAAATAAAAATGATTTAAAAATTACTTAAAATTTCTACTTATGAATATTACTGCAACAGAAATGGAATTTTGTTTAAATCTGTTGATGGTAAAGAATAAGTGTTGTGCCTGAAAGTATGCAAGCAGAAATCATAAGAAGTGCCCATGAGAAAGCACATTTGGGAGTCAAATATATTGAGAAAAGCATCGAAGAGTATCATTTTATACCTAAACTTGGACAGAAAACAAAAAATATCAAACTTGTAAACTTGGACAGAAAACAAAAAATATCATGATAAGTTATATTCTTTGTATTCTTGTGAATTATAAAAGTAGAAAGAAAAAAGGTCTCCTACATCCATTGCATAAAGATGTGGCATTAAAACCATACAATTTAGATCACCTCAGACTATTGAAGAGTACACATAAAAATTACAAGTACATCTTAGTAATCAGTGATGCATTTACTAAATTCCCACAATGTCCACTGAAGTTATAGCAAAGATTCAAATATGAAAAGATGTATTTGGTAGTCCTTCCCAAATAATCTCCGATTGAGGTACAGCATTTTACCTCCTGCAAATCTGCAAATTATTGTTCTAAAGAGAACATTAAGCATCATTTAATTACTACTAGCCTGCTGAGAACCAACAGACAAGTTGAATGTATCAGTCAGACTATCATATCAATTCTTTCAAAGTTGTCTTTAGAAAATCTGGCTCAGTGGTACAAGCTTACAAATGAACTGCAGCAGGCTATTAACTCAGCACATCAGCAAAGTATAGATACCATACCCTCTGGATTGCTCTTTGATACAAAAATGAATGCTAATTGAAATGATCAAAACTGAATTTCAAGCAAATTTTCAAGCTGAAAGAGATGAACCTAGAAAGCATGCAAAGTAACAGATATTTAAAATTCAAGAAGGAAACAAGAAAACACAATTAAAAAAGAAGAGAACCAAGACCTTATAAAATCAAAGATTTGGTAGCTATAAAAAGCATCCAGTTCAGGCTGCATTCGAAGTTAAGACCGAAGTATCTTGGACCATACAAAATAACTAAAATTAAAGAAGGAAACATATATGATGTAATCAAAGAAGGAAGTCACAAAGCTCTCAACTATATGACAGCATTCGCTGAACAATTATTTTATAAATGTATTTAAGAATTCACAAAAAGAAAGATTAAACAATTTTTTTCAGCATTACATGAAAAAAGCAAGAAAAGAACATAAAAATGTACTTCTCTTATATATGCCCTCAGGTTACCAAATGTGGTGATGTGTGTTCTACGCTGGTTTTTGGCATGTTTCCGTGTTCTGCGCTGGTTTTTGGCACGTTTGCGTGTTCTGCGATGGTTTTTGGGGGCAATGTTGGTTTCTATGGCAACCCTTTTTATGTGGAATTTTCAGTTTGACTGTAGTGGTTTTTGTTGCTGGTTGATTCATGCAGTGGGTGGTTTGAAATAGTTTATGATGCAATGAAAGATGTGTTAGCAAAATTTTAGTCCCGTGTTTAGTAGAATTATTTTTTTTTTATGGCTGGAAATTCTACAAGGATTTAGGATAAGAAGGTTTTTGAACATTTATTTGTGAAAGCTAATATCAATTTTGTGGATAGTAAGTCTGGCTGTCATATAAATTTGATAGAGATTATGTGGCGGCATGTTAAAGCTACATTGCCTACTTTTAATCGGAAATGCAATTTTGAGTTTCATTTGGTGGTTTATATGTTTTTCAATCGTTGTTCTGAAACAGGAGAAGATGCTTTCAACAAATTTGTGGTGAATTTGTTTTGGTGATGTTTGAAATTGGTATTTCTGCTGTTCAAAGAAGCATTCATTCATGGTAAGTGTATTTTATTTTATTCTTGTTCTTATTTTGTAGAATGTTACTTTCCTTGCTTTTTAGTATGAATTTCTGTTGTTGTTGTTTTTTGAGTTGTTTGAAATTTATTTTAGTTATTTTAGTTTATTTTGTTGATTAGTGTGCAATGCCTAGATTGTGCAATTCGTAGGTGCTTTTTTAAGTTTAAACAGAACACTGTGTACATGGCATTCTTAGAAACTTATTGTTGTTAATTTATTTAAGCGAGGTGTGCGTAGTTCATACATTCCTTTGCTGCCTAGATTGTGCAATTCGTAGATTTTTTTTTAAAGTTTAAACAGAATGCTGCGCACGATATTCTTTGAAATTTATTGTTGTTATGTTAATTTATTTAAGCGAGGTGTGCATAGTTCGCAAATAGATTGTGCAATTCTGTGATATTTTTGAAGTTAAAACAGATTGCTGTGTACATGGATTCTTGACAAATATTTTTGGTTAGAAATTTTATGTTTTTGCCATCTAAATTTTTGTTTTTGTTTCAGAATTTTAGCTTAAATTGTGTGTTCAAAATGTGGTTTTGCATGTGCGAAAACCACTTTTTGGAGACATTTTAGGCTCAAAGTTCGAAATGTAGACAAAAAATTTAGATAGTACTATGGCAACATGATAGAGTTTCTCGCCAAACATTTTAGGTGAGAAATTTGTCGCCAAGCAAGGGCATGCATGAGAGTAGTTCCCATAAAAATTGACACACAAAAGTTTCTTAAAATTATATAAAAAATTAAATTATTAATATAATAAATAGCTAGAAATCATCAATAATAGCAATAATGGTGAAAAATGATACACCTTACTAATTCATAATAATCTGTATTGTCTTTAGAATTAATTAAATGTTCAAACAATATTCACTAAAAAATATATATATATAATTTAATAAATATTTTCTTATTATTAAACAAGGTTAATGAAAAAAAAATGAATATGCTATGCTTTTGCAAAAGAAATCAATATGAAAAATTAAATAAAATTACTCTGCAGTTAAAAATTAAATAAATAAAAGACAACAAAAAATTAGTAATACTTAATTGTAAATAATAACATTTTATGAAATAAATACTTAAAATCAAACTCAAAATAAAAAAGTATTAAAAAATTTTGTTACAAGTAGTAGCAACTTAACTTTGCACTGCATCTAACTGCAGGATAGGTAACTGGTCTAGATTTTCAAGGAAGGAATTCAGCATTGCCTTTGTGTCTGTCAAAACAGGGGGAAGGCCACATGGAAGTTGCTAAAAAAAATGAGGTTTTAGTCACAACAATTCAATTTACAAAATAATTTAATAGTAGTAAATTTAGTAACTTTTGCTTGTAATTTAATATTCTAATGTAAAGTCCTTATTTCTCCTTGTAAAATACTGAAATTTTTCAGAGTTCAAAATCAAACTTTGCATCCCTGGTTTTTTTTTTTTAAGTTGTTTTCAAATACTGAATTATGTTCTACTGTTTCATCTGAAAAGTCTTGAAATCTAACATATTCTTTTATAATTACGAATGCATGCATGTACACACATACGTACATACCTATAGCATATTATTTTCTGAATCCAGAAAGTAAGCTTCTGCACAAGATGATCACTTCTTGCAATTTCTGAGATTGTTATTCTTTGAACATATATTTTAGTCATTCAAACTCCTATCTAAAATCATTCATCCCCCTTCTCTTGAATATAATGAAAGAACATGGGCAGAGATATCACTCTTAGAGATAAAATTCCAGAAAATGAAATGGTTGAAGAACAGATTTTTATACTTCATGATAGTGAACATCTGTTTTCCTTCAGAAAGAGCAATATAACTGCTTAAAATTTCTTATATTACAAATCTCCTGATTTAAATTAACTAGCTCAAAAGAGATTTTGCTTTTATCTCCAGAATGAGGAATGAGTGCCCTCTTAGTATTTACCACTTCCCTGAGAAACTTATGCACACTACATAATTTCCTCCTCTTGATTTTCAAGTAATAAACTAGACTAAAAATAGGGCACAATTTTGCTCTCATATATGCAGTTTACAGCAAGGGGAATGTAATTTTTGTTGAGTTTTGTCAAGCGACAATAAGCCATAACATAATCGAATACTGAAATATTTCTATTCAAGTATTTCTGTACTAAAATGCAGCTGTTCAAGCAAAGGCAATATTATAATTTTCTTACCAAAATAATTATTCGCTTCACCAATGTAAACAAATACACAGAATGAATATGGTCCCAGCGAAATTTTATATGTGTTTTCAGCTCACAGATAAACTTTAGATTCAGGTATTCTCCTCTTCCCCTTCATATGCACTCCGTTGTTCCAAGTAGATCAGGAGGGAATTGCAGTTATTAGTAACCAGAAAGTATTTGATACTCCCCTCCCCCACACACACGCACACTCTCCTCAGCAAAAAAATTTCCTTAATTTTGCATTTAGCTTTCTTGCTATTCTTAATAGCATTATATTGAAGCATATTATTTCTTCCTGTACCGTGCTAGTAAATGCTCATTTCTTTGGCATCCCTCAACTGACTTGAAATAATCGTAGTTGCTGCATAGTATGGAAACTGCATTTATTTCTTTCTCAGCATACCCTCATATATGCAACTTACAGAATATTATGAAAACAGAAATACATTTTTCCCCATGCAAATAAAAAAGTATATTACAGAATCCACACACACACATATACGCACACACACACGATTATCATACTTTATATAGTGTTTGGTAATATTCACAGTAAATCTTAGAATAGTGTCCATGGATACACAAAAACTATTGTGTATAACTTCTACAATGTTTTTTAGATTACCTTCAAATTTTTAAAGATCAAATCAATCAATCTTCAAATTTTTAAAGGTATGACTAAAAAAAGGTATTTTTTGACTTTTTAAAGATATAACTTGTTTTGGCTGTTTTAAACCTTTATCTACACTTCTTTTTAAGTTATTTCACGAAAGCGTCGCAAATATTCGTTTATATATATGGGTTTATAAATATGAGTTTATATATAAATGCGCATTATTATAAGGATATATATAAATGATCATTAAGCATGCCTGTCACTGACTCAGATTTGGGACTATGATTATCCCAAATCCTAATTCTTATAGTTATGGCTTTCCAATGCATAATTTAAAAATAATACGTATACTAAATAATGTCGGTATACACATACAGAAAAATTCTCATAAACAATATTGATTCAGATATTAAAATCACTCACAGATGGACTCAGTATATTTTTGTTAGAAGATGGTAGAACTTCCATTTCACCATTATCCCCCAACGGATGAACTTCCAAATCAACGGGTATTCCAATTTCTTCCATCTGTAAGATATGAATCAAAATTTTACTATTTCGGTAGCTACGATATGTTAAAGCCAGAAATACTTGAAATATACTCACATCTACAATTTGTAGTTATCAAAAGAAGCTAAAAATATCTTGTATAAATCGCAAAAAAAAAATCTAAAACTATTTAGAACGAATAATTATATAAAAAGATAAAATAAATATTTAAAACATTAATAGTCATTTTTAGGTAACATGCCGGTTTGGCTTAGAATGTAAACACACACAGACGACACGTTGTCAGTATTGCCAGATTTGAATGGATGTATTATTTTAGGAAATAAATAAAAATATCACTCTAGCAGGAAACAAAACAAAACAAAAAAAAAAAAAAAAAAAAAAAAAAAAAAAAAAAAACAGATGAGGCTTGGACAAAACTGCAATTAATTATTTTCATTGCTTCATAAAATTATATTGTATCAGTTTGCAAACTGTAATGAATTATCTGGATTTTAACTGGCTGATAATTTTATATCAGACAGTAACGATATTTACTTCGCTTTTTCGAAAGTAAGAGGATTCCTGAAAGATTTTTGTGATTGAAATTATACAAAGCAACTTAAACTGATTGCTATTGTCTGTGTTAGAGTCTTCTGGTATTTATTCACTTTAATATAAGCCTGTTAGCTTTACATAAATACAAACGGTCTGCTATTAATACAATCTGTGATTGGCAGCAATATTTAAACTCAGTTTATAGTTGTTCTAAAATTGTATAGTCTTAAAATATTACGTATTAGAAAGGTGATTATCTCGACTTCCTTGCCAGAATATGTTTCATAAATAAAAACATCTTTATATGAGAATTTTTGGTCCCTAATGCTTCTTTATTAAAGAAATTATTTATTAAATCCTTTGTGGAGGCTAGGGTTCAAAGATAGATAATTTAGGAGTAGAAAATTCAGCGAATTTTCGGATTGCCTCTTATACATACTGATATAAATAACAAAAATAATTTTGTACTCTCTCTCTGGTCATTAAAAAAAAGGGAAGAAAGAATACCCTTCAGCCATATTAAATATCGTATAAATATCTAACACTTAAATAATGTTAATAGAAAGAGTGATATGATAAATATATTAACCATATTGAACAGAAATAATATAGTGTAGATGCACTTTCCAAAATTGATAGTAGAAGTAAACTTATTGGAACGCTTAAAAATACCGATACTCATGACACTGAGTTGATTTCAGCACCTGGATTTCGCAATTTCTGTAACAGGTCTTGCGGGGTAAGAGAGAGAAATCAAAAATCTTTTGTCAGTAACTCTACGCAAATTAGGCCACTAAGCCTGGATTTATGATTGCATTAATGACTGCAGAAATTCAAAGGTTGTAGTCTGCTACGGCGGTGATAATTAGAAGTAAATGGCAACGATTAAACTTAATTGAAAATTTCCTTATTAACAATAACCTTAGAACAACAAAATTGTTTTATTTTATACTTTTGAGATTGCATCATTATAATGTGTTTCTTTTCTATTATTTTCAACTTGTAAATAAATTGATATATTTCTAAATAATAAATAAGTCATCAATTGGAGAATTTATCACGCGCTTTACAGTGGTTTACTCAGACGCGATATTTGAAGCATTACAACATCATATTGTCACGAGCCAGAGCCTTTCTGCACGTTTACTTTATTTTGTGAGCGCTTAAGCTAGTCTAAATTATATTTTAAGTTCAGCATTACTTGTTTAAGTTATGCCAGAAGTGTTGGTTATGCCAGAAAACCCAACATATGCCATAAATGGGGTCAACTGTTAACTCTTTGTGATCGAATAAAAGGTCTATTTATGCCCTTCTTCTGACTTTATCTGACTATTAATAAAGACAAGATGATAATTCCACTATAGCTTTTCTAGAGTTCTTGAGTTTATGTTACCAAAGCAAAAGAGACTCTGTAGTTTTAATTGCCAGTTTTCCGATATGGAACAATTGTTTGTTGTTGGATTGAGCTGATAAGAAGAAAGATGTGGAAACACTGAATGAATCATTTAATTAATTTTTATCGATATAATGCTGGCTGGTATACACGTTACACGTGGGGAGAACCAAGAAAACGTCCCTGCAGCCATCCCGTTCGCTTGGATTCAAACTCAGGTCGGAACTACCAGTATTCAGCGAGTTTAGCCCACGGCCGCCGATAGCAAGAAACGCAAATGATTATAGTTATTTACATATAAACATAGGTATTTTTATTTAATGCGTCTAAGAATAATTTAATAAATAAGAGAAAGAAACTAAGTTGTCATTATTCATTCTCAAGTTTTGTCCCAGTTGCAATTTAAGTCCCCCTGGGTCGACAGGAGGAGTATGCCTCCTCAGATAGCATCTGAAGTTAGGGGCGATTAACTATGTAAGGCCTTTCTTTTGCAATGCCAGGTCTTGGTGCCCCTTCCTTCTAGCGCACTGCTCCACTTAACCCCTTAAGGACCAGCGTCGGGAGCAGTCACGAGACCGAACCCTCTGCAATGGATCGTCGCCACCGACCCGCGCATTTTCAGCAGTTAAGCCTAATTTTACAAAACAAATCGTATAAAATCAGCATTTTGATATTATGACTTCAATTTTTGAAGTTACGTATTTTTTAATGTACTTGTTTTTAATGTGTATTAATATAAAGAATATCACATTAATAGTAATAAATTAAACAGGCAAAATACTAAAATTATTACTATACACACAAAAATAAGTACTATAAACATGAAAAAAAAATTACAAATAAGAAATTTAAAAAAAATTAACAAGAGTTACCTGTAGGTAATTAAATGCCAATTTAAAAATTCTGCTGTGTGTAAAATAATTCAAAACAAGGATCAACACACAATCAACATTGCATATTTCGCACTCAAAATACGTTGTTTGCTTTCGCTTTTCCTTGGTTTTAGCGCACACAAACGCATCTTCTCCTATTTTTATTACCTTTTCCGTCACTATAAATTTTCGAAAACTGTCTTCCATTTAGACAGAAAGGTGGAGTATCCGGTGATTTTGGACACGTTTTTAAGTAAGGTCTCTTAGCCATGCCTAACGGAATGAAACTGAATATAACCCAAACACATGTCCCGAAACTTCTTCAAAAGACACTCAGAAATATTTCATCCTCAAACCCTGTGTGACCTTCAAGTTTATATTAAAAACTTCTGTTTTTCTAAATCGGAACAAGCGTCCACGATGACCGGAAACTGATCAGGAAAGACCCCCACTGGCGGGATATCCATTATTGATCACGTCAACTATACATATATGTAAAGTAAAATACATTATATACAAAATATATGCCAGGGCATTATATATAAGGAATGACCATTAAATCGAGTAAGATAAACAAAAACGCTGGTTCTTTCCTGAGAAATGTGAGCAAGACGCATTACTCGTGGAGAAAGCTGATAGTCTTTCCCCTTCTGTAATAATGTTGTAATGTTACTTTTAATTAGCCAAGAAAGCTTATGTTGAGTTTCAAAATAAATAGGAAAAAAAAAAAAAAGGGGGAAAACTCCTAACGAAATAAACAAAAACGCCTGTGCCGCTTTAATTCACAGGCGCACTTATAAAGAGCCGTGATTTCCAGTTTGTTTGTTTAAAAGAATCTCTCAAAACTAGATGCACAAAACAGAAGCTAATGCCAGTATATGAAGGTCAAATGCCGTATGAATCAACCTATGTAGGAACAATTCCCATTTAGCTCCATTTACTGGCTTTTGAAAATTCTAATAAATCGTTCCGTTTTACATGTCGCCTATACGCGACGCTGGGCTCGTAGGAGCAGAATCTTTACGTCTCGTATGCAGGACGCTGGACTGGTAGGAGTGGAATCATTGCGTCTCGTAGACGCGACGCTGGTCCTGACCGGGATGTTTTCATACTTTTCAAATTTTTAGTTTAAATTATATTATTCAGTTTAAATTAAATTAGTAAATTATTTCATGATTATTTAAACTTGTTAGAATTACTTGAAATGCCGGTTGAATAATTTAATATTTAGCTGTTAATTTACACTGTCGTCTAAAAGTTATGGAACAGCATGTTTCTCAAGGCTCACCATTACAAAAATATGAGAAACGTTAAAATTCAGTTCATATGCATCACAGTAACGAAGTTTAAGAAAATATAAGAAAACACAATACCTACCACTTTTATTTTATAGAAATTAATACTTATATAGAAGTTGGTGGGGAAAATGCAAAAATCGTAGATCGAGTTCACTAGTGTTGATCTTCATTGGTTATTACAGTTTCATGGACAATATCCAGGACAGTCTATCAATGTTCAAGAGAAGTCGTTTGGCTGATTCGTCGAGGTGTCAGGTGATCGAATGGATGGAAACTGGGATGTCACAAACTGATGCTGCTAGACGTCCCAATGTCTTTCATAATATGGTCCATGGACTATGGAATCAGTTTGAATCCGAGGATTCTGTGTCAAGAAGATATGTTTCCGGCAGGCTAGAGTTACAACATCTCCGGGATACCGTTATTTAGTTCTTATGGCCCGAAGGAGGAGTAACATAACTGTGCCTCAGCTCATAACAGATCATTTAATGTCAACACAAACAAGAATCTCAGCCTGCACAGTGCGCAGACGACTGCATAATACAGGTCTATATGCAAGGCGACCAGTTCTTCGTGTTCCCTTGAACCGAGAACACAAACGTGCCCGTTTATGTTGGGAAAGAGAACAGGTCCCCTGAACTAGTCAACCATGGGCGACTGTTCTCTTCACAGATGAATCCAGGCTCACATTGGAGAGTGATTCAGATCGTCAGCTAATTTGGAGGAAACACTGCATCAGATACAACCAATCCCAAATTGTGGAGACACGCAGTTACAGAGGTGGTGGAATAATGGCTTGGGCTAGAATCTCTCTCGGTGGTCACATTGACCGGCATGTGTTCCATGGAGGAACTTTGACCGGGGTGAGATATCGAGACGAGATCCTTGATCAATATGTCAGCCCATATGCCGCTGCTATTGGTCCTAGATTTCTTCTGATGAACGAAGTACCGAGCTCAGGTTGCTGAAGAATATCTTGAAGGTCACGGTACGGAACGGATGGAATGGCCAGCTCAATCCCCAGACCTGAATCCGATACAGCATCTTTGGGACTGCCTTGGTAAACAGTTTGCTGTTTTAAGTCCTCCTCCAAGGTCGTTAGATGAGCTTGAACACGAATTACGGTCGTTGCTTAACACTTCACTGACCGACAATTTAATCGACAGCATGGAACGTCGCTGCCGCCAA